TGCATGCGGTGTTGGGGACTGGGAAAAGGGGGGATGGGTTGTTCTTTTTGCACTGGGGAACAACCCCGTGTGTCCCCCAGCCTCCCTCAAGTCACCCCGGACCCCATCCTGACACTCACCTCCCCGACAGACGCCACGCGCGGGTACCACTGGCTGGCGCGGCAGCCTTGGCGAGGGGACGGCGGCGCGCTGCTGGTCCAGCGCACGCGGTCCACTCCCGCCATCAGCCTGCCGGGTCAGGGCCTGCACATCGAGGTCCTGCACCTGGATGCAGGTGGGGGCTTTGAGGGGGGTGACGAGTCGTATCGCGGCTACTGCGGCGCGCCAGCCACCGTTTTGACCAGCTTGCTGTGGAGAGATCATGCCCGGCAAGGCAGCTGGGGTGAAAGGATTATTATACTCATAACGGTGGCCTGATCTAGTGGTTGTTGTCCTGTCGCAGTTTTCTGACCTGGTTCCTTCTCCCTACCACCTTGCCGATCCAACACCTCTGCCTTCCTGCAACAGCACGGTTGACGACGCGCATGCACTCCAGCCTCAACGCGTCCACGCTGGCAAGCACCACAGCCTGGGGCTGGAGGCGTGGAGCCTATGCGCACTGGCTGGGGCCGGACGTCGTTGCCTACGCTGCGTGGGCCTGTGGGCTGCAGGAGCCCTGCACGGGTGAGCTGCCGATGCTTGAAATGCGGCGCTGGCGGCCAGCGGGCGGGACCCCAGGCGGCCCGGGTGCGGCACAATCAAACACATTCCCCATGGCCCCCCTTTTCTCTACACCATCGCAGAGATCAGGGCTTTGGGCGATGAGTCGCGGCGCACCACGCTGCAGAGGCCGCTGGTCGCCGTCTCCAGGGACGGGACGTTGGGCCTGTGCGTCAGCCTGACCCGGCTGGAGGCGGCGGCGCCCGGGTTTGGCGTGGCGCGCGCCGAGCCTGGGACCAGGTTCGGCGCCCTGGCGGCCGACGGGCTCTGGATCCAGCGTCTGGACGGCGCCGAGGCCGCTCCACCCCCGCGCCTCCTGCTGTCCTATGAGCGGCTGCTGGCTGCCGCTCAGAAGACACGGCGGCGAGCAGCCGCCCCGGCGCAGGCGCCGGGGATCGAGCCGGGATCCGGATCCGGTCGGGCCAAGCACAGAGGTGTGGGCAACTCGCCGCTGCCCATGATTTCTGCCTCCAGCTGCCACCACGCCCTGGACCATGCCTTGGTGCTGGATGGGGGCCGCGGCTCGGCCTTCCAATACCTTGTTACCTCGTGCGACGATGGTGCGCCGGCGGGGCATGTGTTGATGGGGCTGGGCGGGGGGGCTGGGGTGGTGAAGGGACACTGGGGCAGCAGGTGTCTGTTTTGATTCAGTGCAAGGATGGCACGCTTGCATGGATCCCATCTTCAACCAATTGCGACGAGCCACAAGAGAGTCGATCGGAGGCCCGCACATGCACCCTGCGTGCTCCTGCCTCTCTTCACAGGGAGCCCGGACCGGGCGTTCACCTTCACGGCAAATGCCACGGGCGGGGACCTCTGGGCCGTCCCCGGGCTGCCCGAGGACAGGGCGGCCGCGCTCGCGGAGGGTGAGAGCGGCGTGCTGGCCGCCTGCTTCCACAGCTCGGTGTTCCTAATCCAGGTCGAGGTGCGGTGCAGGCTCCATCCAGGCCTGCATGCCCGCGGTTGGTGCACAGGGGCGCGGCGCATCGCTCTCCCAAGCCATGCCTCACACCCCGCACCCTGGCTCGATCGAGCAGAGGCCGGTCCTCAGCAGGAGTGCAGTGACACCACTACACACACCTGCAAACCCCCCACCCTCTCCCTGCAGGGACGCAGCGCCCGGCCCCTGGCACTACCAGCTCCGCTGGCGGCGGTGGCGGGCAACGTTACCCACTGCGCCTTTGCGCCGGGCCGGGGCGACACGCTCGCCGTGGAGCTGAGCCGCAGCGGCTGGGCTGGCCCGGCGCGCCACGTCGCCGTCTGGAACCTGGCGACCGGCGACGTCTTCCCAGGTATGGAGCGCGCGGCTCGGCACAAAGCTCAAGGATTCAGGAACGCTCAGTGCACTCTCTTGCCGAGGCGCACCGTACCTGTTGGGTCCCGCTTGCAATGAGCGTGCTGCCGGTCGAAGGCAGGGCGCCTGCTGGCGGCGAAGGGCGGCGAAGAGCGGCCCAGCTCGCTATCTGACGTGCTGCCGCACCCCAGGGGCGCAATGCCCAGTGTTCCTGGCAAGTCGTACCAGGGGTGCCCATTACCAATGCCCTTCCATGACTCCACCATCACACGCAGCGGCCAAGTACGAGGATGCCTCCTGGCCCGGGCCCCACCACCTGCTCACTGATCTGGTGCCAGCCTGGAGCCCCGACGGGCACACCCTGGCTCTCTCCACCAGCGGCCTGTGGGACCAGGGGTGCCAGGCAGTCCTCCAGGACGTCTCGCCTGCCCAGGCCTGGGCTGGGGGCGGCTTGGGGGAGGAAGAACCCTGGCCGGGGCGTGCGAGGCAGAGCGCTGCCCCAACCCTCCTGCCGGGCCCGGGGGCCCTTGCTCCTGCGGGGGCGGCTGGGCCGGCCGAGGCGCTCCCCTCGGAGGGAAGGGCCGCCGGGGCCGCCTCGGAAGCCGCGCTGCCCGACGTCCGAGTGCTGCTGGACGTCACTGGCGGTCGTCTGTCGGGCCTGGCGCACCTCCGCCGCGCCGGCGCCGACCTGGCCGCCTGGAGCCTGCATGCTGTGGTGGTGCTGGAGGAGACAGCGGCGGCTGGGGACGCGAGATCTGCTGGGGACATGAAGTCGACTGGGGACGCAGCGATGGCCGGAGATGCGGCGGCAGCCAGCGTGGGATCGTCGCAGGCCACTGCCGCGAGTGCAGCACCCGGCGGCGCACCGCCCCACCTGCGAATGCATTTCTGGCAATCGAACACGGCAGGGACCACCCCGCCCCAGGCCGGTCCCGTGCTCGCCTCTGCCTCCCTTCCGGCCATCAAGGACGCGCTGCTGGGGAGCCAGGCCACGGGCGGCGCAGGTGGCTGGCGCGGGGCCGGCTGGCGCGGCCCCTGGGCGGACCTGCGCGCCTGGGTGGGCTGGGGCGCGTCGGCCGACGCGGCGCCCTGGCGGCCGGAGTGGGCCCTGGGGGCCGGGGCCGGGGCGGAGGAGGACCCCGCTGCGGCGGAGCTGGCAGCCTTCATCTCGGGACGGCTTGCGGACTGCGCGTGGGAGCGGGGACCGGGCAGCGTCGTGCTGGCCCTGGCTCTGCCCGCCAACCTGCACGTGAGACCGGACTGGCACATGGGATTGCAGGGTGGGGGAAGGGGAGTACAGAGGGGCAATGTGACCCTGCGCTCGGCATGTGCAAGGGTTTGGGGAGCGACCCAGGCCGTCACGCTTGTGTGTGCGTGCGGGAGGCATGTCCCGGACGCAGCAGATGTGGTGTGGGGAGCGGGAGCGACGGAGAGGGACCGGGATCCCCCGCGCTCCCTTCCCGCGGCGGGTCGATGCATCGCAGATGGATGTAGAGCCCATGCCATGCTTCCCTTATCCCCCTGCCTGCAGTATGCCGTGCTGCAGCGCTTGGCGCTGGACGGTAGCCTGCACCTGCTGGCGCGGGTGCTGGTTGTATGGCCCGTGGACGTGCTGACGTGGCACCAGGCCCAGGCCTGGGAGGGGGTGCTGGGCACGGTGCACCTGCCCTGGGAGTACCTGAGCCCGGGCGATGCGCCCGCGGCGGAGCGACAGCGGCGAGGGTGGGATGGCGCGGCGCGGGAGTGACGGCGGAGGGTTTGGTTATCGCTACTTGCCGCTGTAGCAGTCCCCAGTGGGGCGTCGAGCGTCGCGGAAGTGGGTTGGAGCGTCCGCTCTTGCTGTGGCGCACCGACTTGACCTCTGACAAGCTGCCTGCGGGGCTGAAACAGCCTGACACAGAGGGCCAGGTCAGGATGAGACCGGAAAGAATGCCAGGACTGGGGTCTGGGATGTAAAGGGATCGGGGGGAGGATGGACCATCAGTTGGCAGGGGTATGCCAGGGGAATCCAAGCAGCCAACCGCGTCAAGTGTGTGTGATGCGGATACCCCTTGGGGGCTGTCAAAGTCCATGCAGAAGCAATACCATGAATGGTGCGGGCGTGTGCCAGCCCATCTTTCTCTCCGCCTATCTACACCGTGCTCCGAGCTGATGTGTGGTGCAACCTGTCGATTTCTTGCGAGCCCCATGGGGTGATGTTGCCATACTCTGTCTGATGTGGAAATCTCCACATCCATTCCATGTGCCTGCCTAGGTGTGCCGAGGCTGGATGACGTGCCCATTCCAGCAGGTTCTCCCCAGATCCCGGTGCGCAGTTTTCGAATTCATTCGAAAAGAAACAGATCATCGTGTACCTCAACAGAGTAACGAAGAGAATCGCAGCATGGCGAGGGAGGGACTCGTGATCTTGCATGTAATTTTGGTGACCTGTGCGTCTCTGTTATGATGGGTCAAGCTCAGACCGAGCCTGTGTACAACAGGGACTGTCTTCCTACCTTGGCCGCCAAGAAGGAGGAATGTCTGTCGCTGAGGATGAGGCTGTGATGCTGATTGGTCGCGACTCGCACGACTGCTGACAGTTGTCAAATCCCGACCGGAGGCTCACCGGAGCGGGAAAGGCCGCGCAACCTCTTGACAGTCAGGATTGATTGAGTGGCTAGTACGATTTCAGGAATATTTAGGCAGGGCATGCATTGCAACAAAACGAAAAGTATCTTCCTAGGCCAAGGAACTGTCTCGCTTGTGTCCTCTGACAGGACGCGACATATTCAAGATACGTTTCCCGTACTTGGCAGCCGTTCCTTTGCGGGATATAGTAAAGCTTTCAAGCACGCAAGGATGTCTACACGAATCGCAATTTTAGCTATGGTTCTGACACTGGTCTCAGCCTCGCTGGCTGCGGTGAGTCGTCTGGTGGGCTCGACCACATGTGCATGATAGCTACCCTCTAAAGCACCGGGCCGCCATTGAGGTCCAGTGAGCAGTTCCGGTGGACAAGAATTACAAACGCAATTATGCATGCAGGAGGAGTGCAACTCCGCATTCTTTGGCCTACCCACCGTAAGGTATGGGGCTTGCACAGAATGGGGAAGCACTCTGAATCCGTGCAGGATGGACAACCTGCTGAATTCCCAGAGGATGATCTCATCTCACATTTCCACATCCACGCAGCCTGGATGATACTCTGTACTTCATCTCGGCGAGGAGCGCGAACATCTTCTGCAGGTGAGACCCAGGGTTCCGAGGAGGGTTCAGAACCAGCATCCGGCATGTGATCTGGAGATCTAGGCATTGGACGGTCACATCGCTTAGCACAGCTCATGTATCTCTGCAACCAGCGTGCCTTTTCAAATGCATACAATAGATACAAGGGGTTCGAGAGGGGCGTTGGCAAGTTCATGGCACGGCCCCAAGAGGAACTGCCCACTTTGCTCCATGATATGGACATCCACATCTTCGACATCTTCGACATGGCCAAATGCGATGGCAGATGCCCCATGACCGTTTTCATCGAGTGTGTTCCGCGAGGGCAGGACAGCTGCAGCGCGGATAGCAACCTCAACATCGGTGCCAACAACACCGGCATGAATAACAGGGGCAACAACAACCAAGGGTGGTGCAATCTAGGTCCGTGGTTCGATGATGCCGTCCTGTACTTCCTTCTCCTCTGCCATGTCTTATGCCTCTGCCCTGCACCGAAGAGGGTGTCCGCAGCGATAGTGCCTCAGCATTTTCCGAGAATCTAGTCTACTTGCCCACACCCCCCACCGATCAGGGCTGCTGCACACCTCTTCCCTCTACCCCATCCCCTTCCAGGCAACAACAACATTGGAGACTATAACAGGGGCAGCAACAACACCGGCACCAAGGTGTTCTGCAACAATCTACAGCAGGCCAGTGACAGATGCACTCTGGACAAGCTGAGGACTGCAGAAACCCTGTACCTGTAGACCTAGTCGCTAATCATCGATTGGTTGAGGCTGCACAACTTTCTTCTGCAACAGTGGAGTCCCCCCCCAGAGTGCCTGCGCCTACCCAGTCTTCCCTCGCGCCTCTCGCGCCACGGCCTGGTCCCAGGAGGTAGCGCTTGATTGCGGCACAGAGCGAAGCCTATCCTCCTGCAGGTTTGCTTGGAATGCCTGCTATAGTGAGCAGGACTGCTGCTGATCCAATTCACTATGTACTTATGTGCGCTCCATGCCAATGGTTGCTCGCCTATTGGCCGAGTGGTCCTTGCCCATGTTGGCTTGCAATATGAAGTATGGACAGAGTGGATGTAGTGTGATGACCATCTGGGTGAAAGCTTTAGAGCAAGCGGCAGGATAGCAGCCCCACATCCATGGGCCATGGCAACAATGACTCTAAGGGAACACGCCCCCATCCAGCATCGCACCTTTCCACGTGACTGTTTTACGCATGCTCGTGGTTAGGGAATGAATCAGGGGGCAAGCCTTGAGCAGAACCAGAGCACCATGGCATTTTACAGGAAAGAGACCATGCCGACTGCCCAACCGCCTGATTTCTGAGGGCAGGAAATGCCAAATCCATCTCTGCGACACCGAGAACGCACTCAATCCTCTCGCCCATCAGGGTGAGTGAGGTCACGAGGTTGTAACTTGGGATTGGTCATGCATGGTCTGTTCCACTTCCGTACACCATGCCACGATGGGGTCGCAACCCGGGTCAGACTTCCAACCTCACTCGCGAAATTGCGGACCTAGACACATACATCTCATCCAATCAGTCGGAACCCCTTGAGATTTGGGATTATGGAGTATTTGGGTTCCATGAACATTTCCGATGTGTCGCATCCACTGCCTCGTCCCGAGTCTGACAGGTGCACCTCCTGTGTGTGCAGATACAAGGATGCAGGGCAGCGTCATGCTCGCGAACTCACAAGCATGGATGCATGTATGATGGTGTTGGAGAAGATTGCAATGCTTGGTGAACAGTTGATGCTGAGGATTCAACCGTACTTCCGGAGTTCGTCCCGGATTGCTTGCGGCGCTCCCTTCATCATGTAAGATGACACTCCAGGTAGGAGTACCGCCAGCTGTCCGGGCCACAGCCGCCACTAGTGCACACCGGAACCGGAAGACGCGACCCTCTCGTACGCGATGAATTGCTGGCGAGACCTCAGCACTGTACAGCAAAATAATGCTTTGAATGCAAAAAAAGGTCGTCGACGCCTGAGCAGGGCCTGTTTCAGGTCCAGGCCACGGACAGTGCACGAAACACATTACGAGAAGGTAGCAGTATATCCGCACCTCATCAGGATCCAATCAGGCTTCAAGCGCGCAAGGATGTCTTCAAAACTCGCTATGCTAGCTTTTGTACTGGCACTTGGCTCAGTCTCGCTGGCTGCGGTAAGTCGACGGGCGTGCTTGTCAAGAATCGTACCGGTGCGCCCTTGCCCCCCCTTGTGCTCCTATCGAGACCAGCAAGAACCTTGCGCGAAGGAGTCATCCCCATCTGCCACCACATCATGTAGGGGGAATGCAGTTCCTCTTTCTTTGGCCTACCCACCGTCAGGTGTGTAGCACTCTGGGTTTGGAGGCATAACCATCTTGCATCCTTGACAGCCCTGCAAAGCGATGGAGCACTTAGGCTAGTACGGTCCCCCACCACAATCTCGCAGCGCTGGCGGCCAGCTGTATTTCATCTCAGACAGAAGCGCTTCCATCTTCTGTAGGTGAGTCGCAGGGCGTGAATGAGGTTGCAAGGCTAGGATTCGGCTTGTCTGAGACACTATCTGGCTGTTTGAAGGTTGGAGTTACCGAGCACAGACCGCCTTGGTCGTCCACCATGCTTCCCAAACCCCCCCCCAAATAGATACAAAGGATTTGATTGGGGAGTCGGTATGTTCTTGGCGAATCCCATTGAGCAGCTACCTATCCTCCTGCCCGGATTGGACATCCATGTTTACGACTTATTCGACTCGGTCCCCTGCAATGGCACGTGCGGCATGACCCAGTTTGTGGAGTGTGTTCCACACGACCAGACCAACTGCAGAATCGATGAAACATTCAACATCGGCAACAATAACGTCGGCCTGAATAACTGGGGCAACAGCAACCAAGGATCGTACAACATAGGTGCGCGCGAGAGCATGCCTTACTGAGCATCCAGGGTGCCCGCTGTGCATCCTGCCCCTGCTGTGCATTCCAGTGGTGCTTGAGTTCAGGTGCACCGCCCTTCCTGAGACTCCAGCCTGCTTGCCTGTGCCCAGCGTCTAGTCAGGCTTGCTGCACCCCTCCTGCCTCAACCTTACCCATTCCAGGCAGCAACAACATGGGGAACTCTAACAGGGGCAGCAACAACACCGGCACGGGGCTTTTCTGCAACAATCTCCAGCAGGGTCAGGGCTCCTGCACTTTGGACATGCTGAGGACTGCTGAGACCGTGTACATGTAGGCCCTGCGCCAATTCTTTGTTCTCATGAGGCTCCAACGCCCGTCCCAGTGCCAATAGAGCCTCCTGGCAAGAGTCCAGCTCCACTGCTGCCCGCGCAAGGAGGGGTGTTCCCTGAGGCCTCCTGCAGAAGTCTTGATCACAAGCGCCCAGAGGTCAGATGAGTCCATCTGAGGACAGTTTGACCTCGCGGCACTCTGTGTGGGCAAGCTGTAGAAAGAATTTACTGTTGCAGCTACAAGGCCCGGTGTCCATATCTCTCAACCGTGCTTCCATTCAATTATTGAGAGATTGATGTGAGAAAATACACCTAAGAATACCTCTTCAGCTTCATAAAAAGTGATTACAAGCGCTTATTTGCTGAAGCAACTCCTCTTGCTTGCACTGAAGACCGCAGTTACGGCAGGTGTCCGGCACTGAATAGTCTCGGCCACCCACGGGTCTGAGGAAGGCCCTGCTGCAGCATCCTTGAAACCCTATCCAATCCTTGCGCTGGCTCAAGCTCTTGTCTTTTCGAATATGGGGATCTGCGGCAAAGCGCTATCTGCGCGAAGGCGGGCATTAAATTGCAGCACATGTAGAAGCCTGCCTGCCCATGGTTGTCGAATTGAATATCCCTCGGGATTTTCCCATCACCCGACGGACCCCCAGGTGACAGGTGTCCCGCCAAGGGGTTTGGGACACGCGGACTGAAGGACGCGCAGATTCTTTGCGGGCTCAGAAAGCTCTTACATATTAAATGCCTGCGGTTGTACGGGTAGGATCCCTATACTGAGAGCATCCACTATTTTGGTGCCAACCGATAAGTACACCACTAGCGCATCTGGCGCGTGACATATCTCCGCGCCGAAGCGGTGCGGTCAAAGACACGGGCACACAGTGCAGATTTACTCAACCATGCGCTCGAAAATCATAGTCGCAGCTCTGCTGCTAGCGATAGGCTCAACCTCCCAGGCTGCGGTGAGTCTTCGTACCTGCCAAACACTTGTCCGGATGTCGCGCGTTTGTGCTGGCTGGCGACGCCGGGTTGGTCTCGAGCCCCTCTATCGGTCAACACAACACCCATCGCATGAACGCCGTGCAGGAAATATGCAATTCTAAATTCTTCAGCCTTCCCACTGTTAGGTGGGCGATGTACATGGCGTCGATCGGAAAGCAGGGGGGTTTCTGTGGCTGGCAGGTTGCTCGTCCACATTTCCGACCCAATCCCATCACATCTTATTGCAGTGTGGACAATGTACTCCTCTTTGTAGCAGAGCAAAGCGCGCCAACTTTCTGCAGGTGATTCCTAGGCCGAGGAAACTCTTGCAGTGCGAATGCCATGTTCGTGAATTCATGACGCTGCACGAACGTGCTGCAGGAGGACACCCCACCCTCGTCCTGATACACTTTCTCATACAATCATCCATTCCCGCAGTTCCAAGGGTTTCGGCACTGGACTCGTTGTCACCCTCTATAACTCCAGCTATGAGTTGCAAACTCTGCTTCCGGGGATGGACATCCACATTTTCGACATCTTAAAGTGGAACACCTGCGATTTTGAATGCGACATGACCGTCTTCGTTGAGTGTGTGCCGCAAGGTCAGGAGCGCTGTCCCTTTGATGATCAGATCAACCTCGGGAACAACAACGTCGGGGAGAGGAACGGAGGCAACAACAACACGGGAAACATGAACTTTGGTCAGTAGCGTGATGCAGTCTGGTACAGACATCCTACCTGCTGGGCGACCTCCATCTAACGATGCTATGAGCCATGCTCCTTTCCTCCTGTGGGAGCCTACCCCAAAACATGCACATGAGCATCGTGGGCCTTGCTGCAAGTTTCACCGCCTCCTCCAAACCCCCCTCCCCTTTCCCTCTACCCCACCCACAACCCAGGCTCCAACAACCTTGGAAATTGCAACCAAGGTGACAACAACACTGGCAGGATGTTTTTCTGCCACAACTCGCACCAGGGAAGCAACAGGTGCACCCTCGACATGCTCAGAACGGCAGACACGGTGGATTTGAGCGCGCTCCCCATCCCAATCAGCCTGACAGCCGCTGCAGAGACGGTGAAGACGGTTGCCATACCCGCCAACTGCTGATCATCACGACCACATTTCCAGCCCGGCCCGCGGTCAGCTCTGTGATCGCGGAGACGGGTGCCTTGTGCCCTTTCTGGCTCATAGGCCGCCGCAGGGTTCCGACCTGATGCTGAGACCTGATGCCAACCCTGAGTGGGCACCATGCCAGTCATGCAGCCATACTCCTGCGAGGCCTCTCCAGGGGCCCTTCCCTGTGACGGCAGTGGCCCTGCATCGAGAAACAGGGTCGACCGCCAGGTCCTCCATTCCGGAGACTTCCCCCCCCCACACACACACCTGTCCTCTGACCCCGCACCTGAAATCATGTGTGCCATGTGCGGCAGGGTGCCCCCTGCACCACATGTGCAACCCAGAGCCACGGTGCCTATCACATTGCCCATTCTGCCCTGCATAAGTCCAGCCCTTCATTTTTCTGATCCCGTGACAAAGTCTTGTAAAGCACTGGACACCCTGGCACACATGCAAGCGTGGGAGGGCTCTGATCTGTGGGCTCCAGGGACCAGCACACCCGCCAGCCTCCTCACGCTCGGGCTTGGTTGAATGAGAGGCGAGAGGGGGGTTCCACAGCAGTGCCGATACCCTGCGGCTGTCCCTCGTCGGCACCCTGCCGCCCCTGAGCGGCCTACGCGGCGGCCACGCGCAAAGCTTTGCTCGCCACTGCGGCATCCAGGGCGGCCCGGATGTCAGCGTAGACCTCCGGCATGGACCTGGCGCCGTCGATCTGGGGACGAGGGAGTGCGGGAAGGGGGTGCAGAGCGATGGAAGTCAAGGACAGGGCCGAGCGAGTGGCATCCCTCCAGTGCTGGTCTGGAGCGCCTGCGCCGCTGTGTCCGCCTGTTTGCTTCATCACCCAGATGTAGGAGCTTGCGGATTATCTGTCCCCCCCCCCTTCCTCCGCAGGGATTCCATTGCGTCATGAACCCCCCCACCCCTCCAACCCCCCCAATCAAACGACGATTCCCTGCGCCCTGCGCCCAACCTGCACGATCTGGTCTGGGTAGAAACCGAGCACGGCGTCCAGGTTGGCGTGGTATGTGGCCAGCCGGGTGCGCACCGCCTCCTCCGTGTCGTCGCTGCGTTGGACGAGGCGGGGCGCGACCTCGGTTGGCGGCGGTCGGAAAGTCAGGTGGTAGATGTCGCCCGTGACCGGGTCCAGCCGCCGCCCCACGACGCGGGCCACCAGGGCGTCATCGGGTACCTTGGGGCCAGGTGATTGATTGGAGGGTGTGCGTCATGGGGGAAGGGACGGCTCATGGACTGGGGCAGTCAATCATGCTGTCAGGGAACGGGACAGAGGGGGCCGGAGCAGCTGCTGACCACGTGGCCCCAGGGACATCCGGCATCAGCAGGCTCGGTGTTCAAGCGGGTGGGGTGGGGTGGACTTCCTGCGCTTGAGGTCCCAATGTCCCACCCCTTTCAGCCCCGGGGCGGGGGACCAGTTCAAGCAGCACCGCCTCACATTGAGCAGGAGGAAGACGTCAGGGCGGATGCCCGCGCGGTCGATGGCCTGGGCCTGCTCCGGTGAGCGGGGGTAGCCGTCCAGCAGCCAGCCCCGGCGCGCCGCCTCACCGCTGCTCAGGGCTCCCACCACCATGTCTACGACGACCTGGAAGGGGGGGGGGGAAGGAGGGAATGTTGAGATGAAGGGGCCGTGTGGGAGCCCATGACAGGGAGCTGATCAGGCGGTTGCGAGTCGGGACAGAGGCCATGGAAGGGAGCGTGTCAGCGCCGGCTGGCAGAACCGCACTTCCGCCTATGCGACGTCGGAGGGGGAGGGGTCCATGCTGCAAACTCCCACCATCACAGAGCCTCGCTCAAGCCCCACACCTCGTTTGGGACAAGCTTGCCGGCGGTCATGAATTCGGAGGCGCGCTTTCCAGCAGGTGTTCCGGCAGACACCTCAGCCCGCAGCAGATCCCCCGCGCTGATGTGGGTCAGGCCAAACTGAGACAGGGTTGGATGGTGGTGGTAAGAAGGCCGTGCACAGGTGTTTTTAGGGGGCAGAGATGCCATTGCCACTCTCGAAGACTCAGGTACCGTGCCAATGTCCCCTCCCAAGAATCCCGTTGCCACCTAAGTCTATACTGCCCGCCCCCCCTTCCCCCCTTCCAAAGTGCCCCCCACTCCCATTGACCACCCCGGCACCCACATCTTCCACGATGCTGGCGCACTGGGTCCCTTTGCCTGCAGCCGGTGCTCCTGAAATCATCACACGCAGCGGCGCATCCCCCATGGCTGCCCGGGTCTGGGCGGGGCATGGGAAGCGGGAAATGGGTCATGCAGAGCATGTTGCAGGCATCATAAACGGGGCAACTGGCTCCTGGGTCATTGCATGCGCCTACCATGAAGCTGTTTCGTGCTGAGCGGCGTGGTGTCGCCCGGAGTGTGGTCTGGGGACAGGCACCTGGCCTTGGATGGGTGGGATAGGTGACCCACGGCCTCGCCTTTGGGTAGGCTGGAATCGCGAAAGATACAACGGAGCACAGGCAATGACATACCATTCCGGGTCACCTTTCTGTAACGCAGAGCCCCTGCAGCGGGGCAAAGCCAGAGTGGGGCCGGAAGAATGCACAGCACACGCAGGTGCCATGCTGAGATGAGACCAGGAGGGTCCCGCTGCTGGTCAGGTGTAACCTTCGTTGCTCCTATATGCGAGCCAATGAAGGGAACTCGCGTGTCATGCGCATGGCCTAGTCCAGCTTATCTGCGGGTTTCGACATAAAGGGTCCTTCCCCGGCGCGCGCGCCCGCACGCTGCCGACCCCAGTCGTTCACCCCGAGAGAAAGGAGCTCTGTGGGATAATTCTCAAGCATAGCTCCTTTACACAAACGTCGCCTGATAATAGTACATATGGCTGCCCGAACAAGGCTCTTCAAGGCGAGATGGCACCTGGAAGGGGGGTGTCCCGGAAGTCGCTGGCCTGGGAACGTGAATTCACACCCCACGATCCGCTGCAGGAACTCAAGGAGATATCCAGAACTAGAGACAGCAATGGTATCGAGCTGATTCCGAACGACTCAAATGTCTTCGTTTGGCAAGCCAGAATAGCGGTATGAACTGGACCCGCAAGGAGGGGTGGTCCTTGGCTCCTGGTGCACTCTGGAGGTTTGTGCCTCGCATACTTGACATCGCAGAGCAGCAGCAGACCTTGATGTGGCCATACTTTCCTCTTCCCAAGTGCAGGGTCCCACTGACACCCCATACCACGGTGGAGTGTTTGAGCTGAGCATTACTGTACCGGAGCAGTATCCTTTGGTGCCCCCGGTCGTAAAGTTCAAGACTCGCCTCTTCCATCCCAACGTCCATTTTAAGGCCAGTGAAGCTCATGTTTATCATAGGGAGGGGTATTTATAGCATTGCAAGCACCTGGCCCTTCTCCCACTCGCTGCGTGATGGTTGACACTGCCTGGAACCTGACACCCATCTGCAGACCGGCGAGATCTGTCTCGATATACTGAAGAATGCGTGGAGCCCTGCATGGACGCTTCAGGTAACGTGAACGCTATGGGGTTAGGGTCACAGTTGTAAGCTAATGTCCTGGGAGGTTTCAGCCCTGACAATTGGCCATTCAACAATGACTTCACATTGGGTATGAATGAATGGGGCCTGCACTACCTCCAGAATCATGTGCTTCCCTGACAACCACAATGGAGCATACTCCTATTCTGACAATGTCACAGTCGGTCTGCCAGGCGATAGTGGCTTTGCTGTCAGACTCGGCCCCGGACTCTCCCCTGAACTGCGACGCCGGGAATCTGTTGAGAGGAGGCGATCTGCGAGGGTTCGCCTCCATGGCCCGCATGTACACCATCGAGTATGCCATGAAGCGATGATGTCTGTGAAAATGATGTTCAGAATTCATTATATACTCATGTTTTCGTGTAAATGCTGTGTCGACTTAAGTTACCGAGCTGGCTGACAGAGAGAATCTTCAGGTCAAATGTTGGCACCAATGATCGCGACGATCGTTCAGGGGTTATCAAGTCAGATCTGAACGAAAACCAGAAATCAAATTTGCCAAAGCGCATGTTTGTATGTCGAGAATTATCATGCGGGTGACTGGCTCGCTAATTCTGGCATGGAAGGATGCCACATCGAATTGATCCGGGGAGACTAACACTTGTCAGAATTGCAATGTGCCATATTCCAGATATCCCAGCCGGCCCTTCTATAAACCACCTGCGGGCTCAGATACCTACGAAGAGGCTCAGATAACTCAAGGACGTGCATTCGAATTATCCCTGCCGCGCGGAAACATCAGACCAGGTGCGGATGCTGAGCGTCGAGTTGGGTGCTTGATAGACCTTCACCTTGATCTGAGGTTCCCGTCCCCAGAGCACTCGAATCTCCGGCATCTTACAGGCAAACCGCAAACAGTAAATAATGACGAGCACCATCACCATGTCTGCCATGCGAGGCGCACCTGTACGGGTGACCGGTCCGAACACCAGCCGGCCCACCTGCCGCCCTGCTCGGGGCGGCACGGTCAGGCCGTCTGCGGTCATGGACGCCCAGCGCTACGCAACTCCCTTCGATGGCTTCAAGTACGGAGATGTGGGCATCCAGGATTCGCATGTGCTGCTTCAGCCCTCCTCATGCCACTAGCACTCATTTTTCGACTCCCGGATTGCCAGGTTCAAGGGCATCAAGGAGTCGGAGATCAGCCGCGCCATGACCTCCCGCTACTTCGAGGACCTAAACGTCAATGCCGAGGTGCTTTTGCATATATTTACAGCTAATTGTGATGGGTGTGGTGCGCGATATGCTTGCAAGGTCTCCGGTGAGCTAATGATCGGCACACCCCTTCCGCGCATCCGCAGGTCGATGTCGTCATTGTTGGGGCTGGGTCTGCGGGCCTCTCGTGCGCCTATGAGCTGAGCAAGCACCCGGATGTCAAGGTATGGTCTGAGCAGGGCACATCCTCAGATGATGTTGCTGTAATTGCAATTGAAACTTGCGGTTGTTCCCAGCACAGCCTCAATCAATCATGTGTGCTGCGTTGCAAACGCTATGATACCCCAGCCTTCAACATGGGGCAGGGATATCGTTTACACCTGCTTGAACCCCCCGCAACAGGTGGCCATCATCGAGCAGGGCGTCGCACCTGGGGGTGGAGCGTGGCTGGGGGGTCAGCTCTTCTCGGCTATGTGTGTGAGTCTAGGCACGGGGACGGGTGGACTGCAGCAAGGGCTGGGCGCAGGGTGTTGATATCCATGTGTTGGAGATTCTCGGTGGAAAAACAAGATGTGTGTATTTTAGTGCTATCTCGGTGGCTGCATTCCAGCAGAGTGTAAGTACTTTCTGTCGAAGATCCCTAATTCATTGCAACAGATCCGCAAGCCAGCCCACAAGCTGCTGGATGAGCTGAGCATCCCCTACGATGATGAGGTAGGAGGCTGTACGCCCTGCTTTCCAGGGCCCCTTGTACTACTATGCACTCTGCCGTTTTCCATGCATTGCATGTGCCTGGCCTTGCACTGTCACTCAACCCCCGACTCAAGGGTCGCCGCCTTCCTCACATTACAACCCCCCTCCCTGCCGCAACGACAGGGCAACTTTGTGGTGGTCAAGCATGCCGCCCTGATGACCTCCACCCTCCTGTCCAAGGTCCTCGCCGCCCCAAACATCAAGCTCTTCAACGCCACTGCGGGTGAGACTGGGTGGGGCATCGGGGAATATAGGTGGCGTGCCCTTGCCCAGGATCTGACATGTAGATGGGGGTGCAGCTTGCAGTACTGCCTGCAGCACCTCAAACTCTGGATTCCCTCGCAAGACCCTACCCTTCCGCAACGCCTCCAATCACACAGCCGAGGACCTGATTGTCAAGGACATCCCCGCAAAGGGCGGCCGCCACGTGGCGGGTGCCGTGACCAACTGGACCCTGGTGTCACTCAACCATGACACCCAGATGTGCATGGACCCAAACACCATCCTGTCCAAGGTCATGGTGTCTTCCACCGGCCACGACGGCCCCATGGGCGCCTCAGGTGAAGTGCGGTGCTTCTGTTCATACTTAGACGGATAATGGGAGGGCCTGGAGCTTTGATAATGGTGCAGAGTCCTCATGGAGGCAGGATGTTGCTGTAATTGCAATTGAAACTTGCGGTTGTTCCCAGCACAGCCTCAATCAATCATGTGTGCTGCGTTGGAAACGCTATGATACCCCAGCCTTCAACATGGGGCAGGGATATCGTTTACACCTGCTTGAACCCCCCGCAACAGGTGGCCATCATCGAGCAGGGCGTCGCACCTGGGGGTGGAGCGTGGCTGGGGGGTCAGCTCTTCTCGGCTATGTGTGTGAGTCTAGGCACGGGGACGGGTGGACTGCAGCAAGGGCTGGGCGCAGGGTGTTGATATCCATGTGTTGGAGATTCTCGGTGGAAAAACAAGATGTGTGTATTTTAGTGCTATCTCGGTGGCTGCATTCCAGCAGAGTGTAAGTACTTTCTGTCGAAGATCCCTAATTCATTGCAACAGATCCGCAAGCCAGCCCACAAGCTGCTGGATGAGCTGAGCATCCCCTACGATGATGAGGTAGGAGGCTGTACGCCCTGCTTTCCAGGGCCCCTTGTACTACTATGCACTCTGCCGTTTTCCATGCATTGCATGTGCCTGGCCTTGCACTGTCACTCAACCCCCGACTCAAGGGTCGCCGCCTTCCTCACATTACAACCCCCCTCCCTGCCGCAACGACAGGGCAACTTTGTGGTGGTCAAGCATGCCGCCCTGATGACCTCCACCCTCCTGTCCAAGGTCCTCGCCGCCCCAAACATCAAGCTCTTCAACGCCACTGCGGGTGAGACTGGGTGGGGCATCGGGGAATATAGGTGGCGTGCCCTTGCCCAGGATCTGACATGTAGATGGGGGTGCAGCTTGCAGTACTGCCTGCAGCACCTCAAACTCTGGATTCCCTCGCAAGACCCTACCCTTCCGCAACGCCTCCAATCACACAGCCGAGGACCTGATTGTCAAGGACATCCCCGCAAAGGGCGGCCGCCACGTGGCGGGTGCCGTGACCAACTGGACCCTGGTGTCACTCAACCATGACACCCAGATGTGCATGGACCCAAACACCATCCTGTCCAAGGTCATGGTGTCTTCCACCGGCCACGACGGCCCCATGGGCGCCTCAGGTGAAGTGCGGTGCTTCTGTTCATACTTAGACGGATAATGGGAGGGCCTGGAGCTTTGATAATGGTGCAGAGTCCTCATGGAGGCAGGGCATCGCCTAGACTCTATCCTGCATCTGCAGAGGCGGAAGCTCCGGAGACCCCCACCCACCCTTGATCCCCCGGACTCATCAGTCCCTGCTCATTCCCTGGTCAGGCGTGAAGCGTCTGGCCAAGCTGGGCATGATCGAGAAAGCGCCGGGGATGGGCGCGCTGGACATGAATACCGCTGAGGACGCCGTGGTGGACCGCACGCGCGAGATCGTCCCCGGCATGGTCATCTGCGGCATGGAAGTGGCCGAGCTGGACGGCTGCCCACGCATGGGTCCCACCTTTGGCGCAATGTTCATCTCGGGGCTCAAGGCAGCCCACTGCGCGCTGGCCAGCCTGAGGAGGTGAGGAGTGAGGGAGGAATTTTGTCGTCGGAGAAAGAGGGAAGGAGGACGCGGGTGGGGGAAAAGGTCCGCATATTGCCTGGCGGGAGTAGCAGCTTCGGAGGGGCCCATGCCGTGCATGGCCTCCCAGCATTATCAAGGGGCATGTCAGGCTGGACTGGCCAGCTGCAGACGCTGCCAGACTATATGACCTACTTTACCATGACCCCATCGCCACCCTTTCCACCCACTGCAGGCAGCGCGAGGAGGCTGGCGAGGTGCAGGCCGAGACCCCAGAGCAGAAGACTCTGCAGGCGACGCACTGAGGTGCCTGCTGGTCCGTCGGGGTCCGGACCAAGGAGGAGGCTATGTGTGTCACTTAAGCGGAATGCGATTCCCGGGCTGCACGGGTGTAATGCGTGCCATCTCATCTTTCTCACCGCTGTACCCCCTGGAATTTCCTGGGGCTGTCATGCGCATTTGGCAGTCACTCTGCAGCCCAGACAGTGCTCAACAAGCCTGGGGCTGTACATGCATTTGAATCGAGGCACATGCCACGACGAGATGATGACTCTTGTACAACTAATAAACAGCGTAAATACACGTTCGGAATACAACTAGGTTCCTGGGGGGTTGGGAGTTTGGCAGCAGGGCGTCTGCCAACATCAGCACACGTTCCTTCCGAGGCGCCGCCCTCAGCCAAACAGAAACTTGAGGTCGTCCTCGGTCAGCCTGGCCAGCGCAGCATTGTCCTGGCCCACAGTGCCCTCGAAGATGAGCTGCTTCTTGTCCTGCAGCTTCAGGATGCGCTCCTCCACGCTGCCGGCAATGATGAAGCGCACCGCCCGCATCGGCTTGTACTGCCTGTGGTGGGGGGTGTTGCGGGGCGGCGATGCAGCGCGGATGCAGTGGAGGATGTTGAGGTGTGGAAAGAGATGGATGCTGCAAGGTAGCAGTGGCCGCCATGCCGATCATGAAAGAAGGCAGGACAGCGCGGGACGCAGAAAGTATAATTACGACCAACCCTGTTCATACACCCCATCCTCCTGAAGCAACCTCTCACCCCAGCCTGTGGATCCTGTCAAGTGCTTGCCATTCGCTGGCTGGGTTCCACCAGGGGTCCTATTGGGAGAGGTGGGAACCATGGTTTTGGTGGAAGCATGAGTAAGGACATGGGAGCTGGGGCTAACTCCCAAGGATTTGCACAAAGAAGATCCAAAAATGTACCAGTCTCCACCCAGCCCATGCCCTGAGGATACTGTCGTCGGCGCAGGCCTGCCAGGAGCGCATGCATGCATTCCCTCCAGTAGGAAATCAAAGGCACCATCCCCCCAGCACACCATGAGGAAGCAGTGGGAGGCGGCGGTGAGGTTGAGAGCCACGCCGCCGGCCTTGAGGGACATGAGGAACACGCGGACGTCCGGATCGTTGGAGAAGGCCTCAATCTGGGTGTTGCGCTGCTCCATGGACTGCGAGCCCAGCAGCTGCACGCACCGCACTCCGCACTGCTGGAGCCTGCAAGTTGGGGGAGGTTTAAAGTAAGGGAAAACATGTGGGAGTGAGGGAATTGGCAATCAGGGGTAGGAGTTTGCTGAGGAAGTGGGTGGGACCCTGAAAAATCAGGCGACGGGAATGCAAGCCATCATAGAGCTTTCAGCGCATCAACAAGTGTCTTAGCACAAAGACGGCATCCCTCGAGCCCTGTGCCAAAACACCCAATCTCCACCTGAAGGAGCAGAGGTCCAGGAAGGATGTGAACTGGGAAAAGACAATGGCCTTGGCGCTGGGGTCCCGCTCCAGCATCCTGCACAGCGCGCGTGGTTATGGGCAGAGACCCGTCAGCGTCAGTCTTGTAAGGGAGGGCGATGCAGGCGACTTGTGCCCCGTCCCCCGCCCCCTTCAGCCCTTCCACCTGTGGATCTCCTCCCTCAGCGCCTCGATCTTGGTGCTGGACTGGAAGTGGGCGGTGTCAAACCGGGAGAGGATGGAGTTTTTGCGGTACTGGCTAGTTCGCACCCCCGGCGTGGCCGCTGGCGAGGCCAGGTCCAGGGAGAGGGGCTTGGAGCAGGCGGGGCAGGTCACGGTGTCTGACAGTTGGGGGGACAATGGCGCAGGGTCAGGGTCGTGGGAATTGGTGAGGCGCATGTGCCAGGCCTGTTCTGTGAATCCGTCGACAGGAGCACCCGCCTTTGATGGGCATACTCCTTCCCTGCGCCAGCCAACACATGTCACTCTGGAGACACAGGGCACCGGTCTCCAACATACCCGCCGCGGCCGAGTTGGTAAACTCGCTCACGCAGGCCCTACAGAAGGCGTGCCCGCACCTGGCGACCACCGGTTCCTGCACAGCACAATGTTGGAGGGAGATTGGAGGACAATCGCCTGTGTAGCAGCCACGTCTGCTGTGCATCCGTTTGGCTGCGGCTTGCGTCACCAACAGCTGTACATTGTGTCTTGGGCCAAGCAGTCCACAACAGTCCCTGCACTCAACACCAGGCATTCATCTCCTTCGCATGCCCACTACCTCCAGCGGGTCGTGGCAGATGCTGCAAAGCCCCTGGACCGAAGCGTGGTCATGGGTGGCCTCCTCCACCACGGCAGCGGCGACGCCGTCGGCCCCGGCCCCAAACCCGCCTGCCACCACGCCCGCCGCATCCGTGGAGTTGTGAACCACCAGGTAGGGATGGTTGACCGCCTGTCGCAGCCTGGAGGGGTGAATGGGGGGCCCAGGGATGGTTGGCATGAGCGGCGGGTTGGCTGCAGGGGAGACAGCTGCAAACAGACATGCCCGGCATGTCGATGCAGCGGCGGGGTGCTTGTGACGCCCCAGCATGACCTTGCGGTGTACATCCTCCCCTCGTGCATGCCCCCACCTGACCAACAGAGAGAAGATGTGGCTATAATTCTGCAGAGAAAGGGATGCAAAAGGTGTGAGAATCGTGACCATGGAGTAGGGCAATGTCATGTGACAAGGCAATGGAGACATGTTCGGGGGTCTGCTGCACGCACACGGGGAGTGCAGGACCATGTCTGGCCCTCCACACATCACAGCTCCCCACCAGCCAAGATGGATCCACGATACAAGCAGGCCCTCCGCAGCCAGTCAGCCCAGGACCAACTTCGCCCCCAACCCTGCATGTGCATTCTCCAAGCCGACGGCCCTGCCGCCTCACATTCAGGAGTGTTCCCATGTCGACGTAGGAGTCAAACTGTGCCTGGCTCTGCGTGTACAGGGCCTCATAGAAGTCGGCCTCCGCCGCGTCCATGGCGTCCCGTCGGAGGACGACCAAGCTGCCCCGGTGGATGGGTGGGTGAGTGGGGATTGAAGCTGACAGGAAGCTGGAGGGAGATGTCTGCAGCCTGGTGTGTGTTGCGACCCCAGCGTGGCGCACATCCGGCCCCCCCCCCCCGGGCACCGCCTGGAGCCAGCAGAGGAAGGCCTTGCCACACACCGCCAACTCACCGAGGAGGCAGCGCCAGGACATCCGCCTGCTGGAACTTGGTCCTGCGCAGCAGGATACGGGGCAGCACCTGCGGCGGCACATGATGCATGGGTGGGCAAACAAGTTTGCAGGGGTACTCAGAGGGGGCCCGGGGAGTGAGGGTGCCCGTGCCGCGTGGGCCCAACAATCTGAACAGCGGCGGTGGCCGTCCGCCTTCCCAGGTGCTGCTGCCCCTCATCCACCACGCCTCACCTCCGTCTTCAGCACGAGCATGGCGTCGCGCCCTAGACCCTGGTAGCCGTGCCGCTTGATGGGGTTGGCCACATACTTGTTCCACCAGCAGAAGTGGTGCAGGGGGCCGTGCTTGCAGCTGTGGCACGTGCGGGAGGCGTTCTTGAAGGGGTAGTCCAGGTGCTTGCACTCGCAGGCACTGTGCACACAGTGGAGAGGGTGTGTGTGTGTGTGTGTGTTAACGGTAAAGATGGAGGGCTGCGACTCGCAGCGGCTGCATGAGGTGCATCCGCTGCGAGCCGCTGCCCCAGCCGGGGTCAAATTTGGTACCGCTGAGGTAGGAGACCCGACGCGGGGGGTGGACGAAGCACCGTGGATGCGAGGCGAACAGCGGTCGAGCGAGACAGGCATCATGGGCCATGATTGCAGGTTGACAGGATTCATCTGCCCCAGACTCCACCTCCTGTGCACCCAGCCGATCCCCAGCCACACTCTCAGGCAACCTCACGCACCGGCAGTAGTAGTAGGAGTAGGGCGAGATGCGCAGGAAGCGCACCAGGGAGTACAGCTCGCCCACGCGATTCTGAACGTGCACGGTGGATGGTTGGGGGGAGGCATGGGGGCTCAGCACAGCTCTGTAACAACACTCAAACAGCCCTCTGGGGATCCAAACGCTTACCCCCCGCCAGTACTTGGGCCTTTTTGCTGATGCCAGCCTCCCCCTGCTCCCTTGCCTCACCTGGAGGGGTGTTCCCGAGAGCGCCCATCGATACCTGGAGGTCAGCGCAAACACGGCGCGTGCCGTCGAGCAGCGCCGGTCCTTGATGCTGTGGGCTTCGTCGAGCACGATGCGCCGCCAGTGGACCTGTGGGCGCGAGGGAGTGGGAAGGAGGGTCGCAAAGACCGTGGCGGGGCAGGCTCTTCGCGGCGATGGGCATGGAGGCAGGTGGCAGCCTGGGTCGCGTCCCAGCCCAGCTGCATGCGCCGCCCATCCAGGACCCTCAGGGTTTGCACATGCACCCGGCGCCCCACCCTGACGGGAGGATGGCTGCTGTGCAGGAGAGAACCAAGTGCATGTGCTCTGACGCCCCCGCCCTGGTCCTCGCTCCACCGCCCAGCACACCTGGTGGATGACCGAGCTCGGCTCATCTGTGTCCTCCTCATCCAGGACGGCGGCGGCCTGGCGCGCGATCATCTCGTCGGCGGCCGCCGCCGCGGCGGACTCTGGCTCGATCCTGCCGCCGAATCCCTGGCCGGCACGTACCGCGCCATGCGGCCCCCCGCTCGCACCAGCCGCCAGCAGTGCACGGAGCTCCTCCCGCGCCACGTTCGTCGGGTGATCGCTGTCAGGGTCTGCATCGGCTTGTGGCTCCTCCCCCAGCTTCTTCCTCTTGCCAGCTTTCGTTTTCTGCAGGGTGGAATGGTCAAGAGAGATGGTCAGGACGGGTGCAAGACTGCTTCCCGAGGCGCTGGTGACGGGGGCTCAAGGCCGCAAGACACGGGAGGGGGGGTAGTACCATGGGCGCGCGCATCGCACCCCACCCACCTCCTCATCAAGACAGGCTCCCCACACCTGTGCGGCGTCCTGCTTCCCCGTTGCCCCAGCCTGTGTTTTGCCGTCCTTCCTCCCTGTTTTCCCTTTGGGCATCAGAGGCCCTGCACAAAGGGCACGATGGGTAGAGTGGGTCCGGGGACAGCGAGCATGGTCGCAGCGCTCACGACCGCGCTGGAACTCAGTGTCCAGTCTCTGGCCTCACAGGGTCGCTGCGATCCCTCACTGCTTCCCTCGCTACAAGGCCTGCATGTACTTTTGGGCAGCTCCCCACCTTCACACCCATGCGCACTTGTGGGGCGGGACCGTTCCTGCTTCGCCTGGGCAGCGGTCCTCTTCGCGAACGGCCCGCAAAAGTACTTGAGATGCAGCTTCAGGCGGTCGACGGTGAACTTTTTGGAGCAGTAGTCGCACGTCACCCTCTCGGCCGCAAAAGCCCGCCTTTGGGAATGAGTGGGCGAGGGGGGGATTGAATGCAGCCCTGGGTGGCGACGGCGTCGCTGCAATTGCTCAGAGATTGTGAGAGACACCGCACGCACCCACACCCAGCATGAGCGCCGCAGGCACGCGCACGGCAGCGTGCCCCAGCGGCCCGGCAGGACCCCTTCCCCCGGGCTGGGCACTTCCATCCCACCACCCATGCTGCCTCGGGCACCCGTCAAAGCAGCGCCCAGAAACCCCGGAGCGCTGCACCCTCCGCGCCCCTTTCCTGGAAACACTCAGGCACCCACCTGAACTCGTTCTCCAGGGTGGAGTAGGTGGTGAGAACCACGTCCGCCCCTGCCAGCACGTGCGGGTCGGCGGTGCGCTTGCTGCCGTGGTAGGTGGCGACGCGCAGCGCGCCCGGTGCCACGTGGCGCTCGATCACCCCCCGCCACTGGATGACAGCCACCAGCGGGCAGATGACCAGCGTCGCGCCGGAAGGCACCAGTCCCGAAGATGCGGCCCCGTCCCCGTGCCGCACCCCGATGTGCGAGTCGCTGCGCGGCGCGATGGCAGCGGCGGCTGCCGACGGGGTGTCGGGCGGCGACCCGTGCGCGCATGCGCCACACTCGGCGCCCGCCGGCGAGGGGCCGGGGGAGGGGTCCAGCAGACCGTCGCCGACGGCGGTGGCGAGCCTCGGCGGCGAGGACCCAGGCATCGGCGCCATGGCCTCGGGCGCGACGCCCCGCAGGCGCAGCCTGGGCCTCGCCGGGCCGGCCTGGGAGGCCGCAGCCTCTGGACCCTCCGCACCCACGCGCCTACACTCCGCCCCGGTGCTCAGCTCGCCGTCCCGGCGGTGCGCCAGGATGAGGGAGATGGCCTGGATGGTCTTGCCCATGCCCATTTCGTCCGCCAGGATGCCACCGCCGATGGGGCCCATCTCCTGTGAGGGAGGAGGGGGGTGGGCTGGCTGGCACACTCGAGCCGTACGGGGATTCAACAGGCCCACAAGGTCATGGAAATCCAGGTGGCCAAAGTGACAGGAGCAGGGGCAGAGCATGGTATCAGGAACAGGCAACCAAGGAAGGGTGGCATGGAGTGGAACCCCGCCCCGGCAGAACGCCAAGCAACCGATGGCCAGGGTGCCCCCAGTCTTCTTCATCCCATCACACCTGGCCCACCGCCCAGCTCAGAAATTCCTTTTGGTAGGGCAGGAGGGGGATGAGGATCTCCGCAGACGGCTCCATCTGCTCCAAAACCTGAATGTCAGAGAGGGCGGGTTCATGCTGAGTGGAGGGTACTCTCATGCGCAGCACGACAGGTGAGCATGTGGGACTCGCAATGGTCAGGGCCTGGCTGCGCCTGTACCCAGGCAGGCAGGGGAGCCGCGTGCTCGCTGAGGGGCACCTGCCACCCCCAGACCCGCCAAGCATGTGCCCAGCCCATCTCCAGTCTGGCAGATGAACACAAATCAGCCGCCAACCTTGGCAGGGACGACGTCCTCCAGGTCACTACCCGCATCCTCATCTTCGCGCAGCGGCAGCGGCTCGATCTCGTGCCAGTCTGACCGGGTGGGGGCCTTCTTGCGGGGCGCACGGGGCTTCTTCGCCCTGGTTGCGGTGGGCACTCCAGGCTCCCCCTCCGCCTCCAGGACCTGCGCCAGGGCCTGGAGCTCTGCCTCCACGTCGGAGAGCACCTCCGAGTCGCTGCCATTGCCGCCCGCGAGCCCTGCGTCGTCGGCCTCGAGCCCCCCTTCGGCATCGCTCACCTCCGCGGCTGCACAGACGGACCACGAAAGCATGGAGAGCAGGCAAAGGGACCAGAGGACGCGCTGAAAAAGGCGGGGCGCTGCAGGGTGGGTGTCAATCACGTCTAAGGATCCCCACTTTTCGCCCTCGTCCTCCTCACCAGACTCCTCGACGGACACACTGGCATCAGACTCTGTGGTGAGGGTGTCGGCGCTGTAGACCGATCCAGAGGCGCTCTCCGACACCGCAAAATCGCTGTCGAAGGCTTGCATGGAGATGGCCGGCGCACTTGGGCCTGCATGGCGGGAGACCATGAGGTGGCATGATGGTCCAAGGGGGGCATGAAGCACGTACTGGGCCAAAGGTAGAGGGCACTGTTGCACCCAGGCCAGCACATTCTCTTGACAAACCTGCGGAGGGACCCTGCGAGTCGGAATTGACGCGGCGAGAACGCCTGGCAGCTGTCGCGCCCCGGGCCCTCATCCCCATGAGCGGCCTGTAGGAACATGGGCACGGTGGCTTGCTGCCCCGCCACACACGAGCAGCCTGATCAGGGATACGGGTGACAGGCAATACATGCCACCTCAATATCAACCCACCTGCACTCCCAGGGCTGGTACTGTTTGAACAAGCTCTGGGCGGTCGAAGTGCAGAGCCTCCCGCCTGTGGAGGTGACGACAAAGACTGGGCACCTTGCGCAGCGCACGGCCCCCCAGACTTGTGTAGAGAAACTTGATTACAGTCACACAAATGGAATCGTATTCAGAGACTTGTGTGCAACAGAAAGACTCGACCCATGGGCGTGCTGTGCACGCTGGGCCGTTCCAGGGGCTCAAAACCCCGGAAAGTCGGAATGCAAACGATCGACGGTAAGCACCCCACAATTTCTGGATGCCGCCTTGTCCGTCCACTGTGAAGCGTGCATGCAGATCAAGCGATTTATTGTCGCGACTGGGCTCCTCCTGTCCGTCCTTTGGATGCTCAAGGGGCTGGGAAGTAGGGCTCCCATGGGAATGGCCTCGGTAGATTACGAGATCTTTGGCAGGGTAGGAGGGGCCATCAATCCCTGGGGCGTAATGATGCCTGGATAGGCTCGCAGGGTGCATTCGATTGAGATGGAGGGTGTGTCATGGTCATCAGCCTGGCACTCAGAAATCGGTGCATGAGACTCACCGCAGCACTACGATGCATCACAGGTTCAAGGCGTTTTCTTCAGGGCCTGCACCCAGGAGCAGGCTCGAAACCTGGGCGTCGTGGGGTGGGTGGCGAACACACGCCACAACACAGTCAAGGGAGTCATCCAGGGCGAGTCTGAGGCATTGGAGGAGATGAAGGTGCGCAGGCGCCATGGGTTCCAGCGTTTCGGGAATCTGTGTTGTGGGTCTGGCAATCGCAGAGCAGCATCTCCACAAGCCGTTCCCTGCACCTCAGCTGGTTATCGTTACATTTGCACAGGAATGGCTGCGAAAAAAGGGGAGCCCTCACTCAAGAATTGAGAGGGCAGAGTTCACAAACGAACGCACTCTTGAGGGGTTGGAATTTGATGCCTTCAGCACAGAACGGCTTTAGCACTCGGTAGCAGTGCGGCATGGCGCGGGCAAGGTCGCAAGGGGTGCTGCGAGGGAAGCCTGTGTGGCGATCATTTGACGATGCAAGTGCAGTGGTTGAGGGGCTGAATCGCGGGGTGCTAGGAATACTCACGGAGGAGGAGAGGGTCACTTGTATGTTTCCAAGGCATTGGAATCATTGAGCGAAGTTCCAGGTCTTCTGTCTTGGCCGCGAGTCTGTCAGTCCTCCTGTCTCAGGGCGAGAAGGGTGGTGATCCACACCGCAGAGTTCTTGCTATGCTTTGCCTTCTCGAGCTGCATTGGAATAGGGGCACTGACGTCCTCAAACTCCAGTAGCATGTCTTGAGGCCCGGAGGGAGGCTTGGCTTCAACCACTGTGAAGGAAAAGGGCGGAGACTACGATTACATGTCATTGTGTCTGAAGAGATCAGAATGAGCTCCATGCCTGGGCTTGAGGAGGTGTTGGCCTCTCACCCCCACTCAGTTCTCACCCGACTTCTCCGAGGCATCCAGACGGAAAGGAATTGGATCGCCCAAGTCCAGGGACTTCGATCTTTTAGTTTTCGCTGGGGCACCAGGCGGGGAGTCATCATCTGCGGAGCGGAATGGGGAGGATTGATCAGCACGGACAAAAATCATGCAGAAGAAGCTCCGCCAGGTCCACCTCGGAAGGTAACAACATCCCTCGTCGACCTCACCCCTCCATTCTCCATGCAGGGCAATGCCATCAGGTGTAGATGGACTGATTACTGTATCACTGCGGCCGGAACGCGCTGCCCATCGCTGTCGTCTCTGCATGATGGGACTCTGGAAGGTACCACGAGAAGCCATCCTCTTTCTCTGCAGTCTTGGCGGCTAAATTGATAGCTGTGAGTTTGTAATGTTGTTCTGAGCCTTCTTTGTTGCTGTCGAGTGTCCTTGCTCGCATTCATGAACGCTCGAGAAGGGCATGTCCGAGTACTGCGACGCGTTTTTGAAGGCGAGTATTTGAAGAAACCACGACGGGCACCTCTGGTGACTATCTAAGGACTTCCTTCGGTTTGTACAGGGATCTGCCAGTATAATATCAAGTCTTTGTTCAGATGATCCATGTTGCGAGGTGAGTCATGTTTCGCCCTCTGGGTCCTTTGACTCTAGACTCAGCACAAAATCCCACTCCTCCTTCTTCACGGGCTGCACCGACAGCCTCGATTGCTTGAAGAGGGCCATCCCAGAGAGGTCGCCATCTTTGTACTGCTTGAGCTCCTGGAGGCCAATCACGCGGCTCAACCTGCGTACCTATAGTGCAGGAACGAACTGGTATCTGGGAGGCATGACAGAATGAGATCAGGGATCAACAACCAAACACTGAGCAGGAGGCCATGGGGATCAAGGGGATGAGCAAGAGGCGCTCATTCTACCAATCACCCAGGCGTCAACACCATCAGGACTCACCAGCTTGCAGTCGACCATGAACCAGCGCGGTTCCTCTGGTGTGCTTCTTGGGTCATAGTACTTCCCTCCCACCTCCCAGGCAGAGTGGTCAGGGTATGCCTCACGAACCACCTGTTGAATTTCAACATGAAGCAGGATGTCATGGCACAACCTGATTGTCCTTGCCTGATCATGCATAGGGCCAGTCCAGCGTTACGAGGATAAGCATGCCATGGGCTCACCTCCATGATACCGATCACCCCCGGCTCCTTGCAGTTGGACTGGTAAAAGAATGCCTGAGCTTGCAGAGTGAAATAAACCGTGAGCATGTGGGGCACCCTGAAAGTGATGGGTCCAGGAGAGGATAATGTGCTTCCTGAGGGAAAATTTCGTAATCGAGTCCCGCCCCTGGGAGTGACCCTGTCTCACCTTGTTGCCTGCACGCATGCCTTGCATGATCTTCTTGGCCAAATGATTACGCACGCCTGCAAGAACAGGGGTGTGAAGTATTGCCGGCTGAGGCATTCAAGGTCGCTGTGGTGGTGCATAACAAAGCTCCAGATGTTGCTCCTGCATAAAATAGCACTGTCATACCGCATCATGCCACCTGCAGCGCATCATCTACCCACCGTCCCAGGGCTCGGTCTGGTTCTTTCGATTCTCCAGGTCGCTGATAGAGAAGGAGTCCGGCTCGCTCTTCATCAAGTAATATGCACCGTTGCTGGGCTCTGCCTTTATTGCCAGAGGTGAAGCTGAGATCTTGCCATTCCCCTTCGCTGTGTGTCCTCTTCGTGTCTCGGACTTGCCATTCTGGACGACCTCTGGCCTCTTCCTCTTGGGCTGAGCCCCGGACCGGGTCGCCGCCATGAGGAAGCAGGAGGCACGCCCAGGCCTAGACCGTAGGACTGAGGATATCCACACCGAGTGGTGTTTCTTTCCAAGCGATGGGGTGAGAACGTGATCAAACTGGAATCGTCTGATTCCTGCCAGGCTGAGGTGAAGCTGGTGATGCGAAGCTCCAGTCAGGGTCCCCCCGTGTCAGCGATTCGAAAAGTACACAGGAGTTGCGCAGCGCCTTCCCTCCGATCACCAAGTTTCCGGACTTGTCATTCATATTGCTCGGAACTGCATCGCGATTGGGAGTTTGACAGGACTGCTTCCGAAACATTCCGCCTTGGGCGCGCGAGAATCCACCAAGAGTGAACAAATGATAAGGGGTCCAGGAAACACCTTTTCAAGTTCAGATGTCGTCACAAAAGGTACTCAACGCCCAGTCAGGGTGCTGGATGCTTTTAAGGTTGTCAGAATTGGCCAGCGGCAACTTCCATACTGATGTCAAACTTCTGATCGATGGGCTTTGTACACAGCGTCATCAGCTTTCAGCATCGCATGGCGATTGCGCCGCAGAGGTCCGGCCTGCCTCGCATACTTCTCGCCTGCAGGATTTGCAATGCTTGATGCTGCAGAGGGTGGCATCATCCATGCGAGGCGGCAGGGCTCTGCCCACGAAACCCACATCTGTGCCGCCCAGTCTCTCACCTAGGACGCTCTTGAGCAGGTGCAGCCGCCGCAGAGTCAGTTTCTGTTGACGATACAGGGTTTGCTGGCGTGCAAGCCATGTGGCGGCACCCTCCCAGAACAGCCCCTCGTCCCCTGCTGGTGCCGTCCCACTTTCTGCAGCTTCCTGTGCCACCTACACGAATTGTGAAAAGGCAATGAGTTCCAGATTAGGCATTTCCCTATGGTTGACCCCCTCTGCTGTGGTCGACTACACTGTGTATCCCTGGCCACCTTGGAGGCTCTTGCGGCGTGGAAGCAGGAGTGCCACTGTGCGTCCAGCAAGGGGACATCCCACTCAAAACCTAGCTCGTCCAGGGCAGCACGGAGTTCTGCTGGCACCCAGCCGCCACGATTGGCCTTGCGGACGAGACGCACCCAGTCGGCCAACTCCACAGCATCGTGAACCTGCACGCAGACATTCCAGGCAGGCGTTTGATGTGCTGTCACGGTGCTGCAGACACTGCCTAGCCTTTAAAGTGGGGACCCGCAATCCCAAGCACAGCACTCACGTTCCTGGGGACGATGCATGTAGAATAGACGGCATGCCACTCGCGCAGCTGATCCAGCATGGTCTGCGTGGTCTGCGCACTTATCGCACGGTCCAGCCAGCGGGGAGGCTTGGCAAGCTTAGGTTCCATACACGCAGCGTCCGTCTCGCGGGGACGGCATGCTGGCCGCAGCGATCTTCGATACTCATGAACAGCAAAGAGGTATCGTGTGGCCCGCGCCCGGGCTGGGTGGAAGGCGCAGGGATGGCAAACGTTGGCGTTCAGCAGGGCTGACCCGTGCACCGTGCCCCAGGCTTCGATCATGTCCGGGTCAGGAACGGTAAGTGATGTACTATGAGTTTGGATGGTTCACTCTAGAGGATTACATCATGCTCCATCAAGACCATCCACGGCGCGTCGGCAATGTGAACTCCGGCCTCGACATGCACATGCGCATGGGGGTCGGGCTGGCCCGGTCCGGCCTCTGCCTGGCGACTCCTCCGCCACCCTGCCCAGCACCCGGGCAGGCACCGAATCGACCTTACACACCCATGCCATCGCTTGCGACCAGGCAAAAGATTCATCATGCCGGTAGCATGCACACCCCTTGCCCATTTAGAGGAGGTTCTGGGCGCGCAGCTCCCTCGCAAACTCATCGCACAGCGCCTCGTTGGTCGCCAAGCCCCGCAGCAGCGCCTGCACCGCCGCCCTGTCGGCCACCGACACGTCCCGTCCCCGCCTGCATTGCATGAGGCGCTCGGTTTGTGAGATGTAAAGCTGCATCAGCGGGCCAGCGGGCACAGGCAGGGGCGGTCTGTGAGCCCTCACCCGGGACCCGTCTTTTACCCCACCCACCTGGGCTGGTCCTCGACGCGGGAGGCCAGAGAAGGGGGCCAGGCGATGGTGGGGCTGGGGTCGGCCGCCCCGGCCGCCAGGGGCGCGCCGCGCAGGAGCAGCGCCGGAGTGAGCAGCGGCTCCGTGGGCGTGGGGCCAGCCCCCCAGCCCTGCGCCGGCCGTGGGGGACCGAGCTTGGGCTCGGGGCTGGGCAGCGTGGCGGGCTCCCGCGGGGGCGGGGCGGGGGGGGGGACTAGCCCGCGCCGCGGGCGGAGGGGCGCCGCCTGGGCGGGGGCCGCGGCGGCGCCGGGGCCCCGCAGGTTGGCAAACATGCGCGCGAGGGGGTTCACGTCGTCCGCGGGCGCGGCCACGGGCGTCAACGCGGGCGCGGCAGGGGTAGCGGCAGGGGCCGCGGGTGCCGGGGCCCGTGCCTGAGGCGCTGCGCCTCGCCCCTGGGGCCCTGGGGCACGGCCTTGGGGGCCCGGTGCCCGGCCCTGGGGCCCTGCGCCTCGGCCCTGGGGCGCGGCTGCTTGCGGCCTCCTGGGCGCTGCGGCTGCGGCTGGGGCTCCGGCTGGGGCTCCGGCTGGGGCTGCGGCTGGGGCTGAGGCTTCCCCGAGGATGGCGGCGACCTCCGTCGGCACCTCCTCCGGCTCGGGAGCCGCACCCATGAGGATCGAGGCCGCGCCGGAGGCGTGGTTCCCTGGCACGAGGCTCTGGATGCGGCTGAACAGCGCCCCCAGGCGCTGGCACTCCTCCTCGGTGTGACACCAGAGGCCCACCACCTGGGCGTGCACACAGGGGCGGTGGGTAGGAGGTGCGGGGCGTCCACCACATGTCGGTGTGAAGCAGGACTCAAACATGGTGCAGGGGCGCCCTTCGAGCTTTGGCAGGCCCCCCCCAGGTCTGAGGAGATGGAGCTTGCAAGACTCTCTCTCTCCCGGGCACGCATGGCCCTCCGGGCGTGCACCCGGGCACCCACCTTGGAGGAGACCTCATCGATGTCAGTGCGGTACATGATGTATGGTTTGTGGATCTCCGATGTGAACCCCGCCCCAATGTCCTCCATGAAGTCCTCTGCGACAGGGAGGGGGGGCGAGCATGGAGGGCATTGTTGTGGCAACTGCGCCAGCCGCTGACCACATCGCCCGCCCCACCCACCCTTGCCGGTCTTGTTCAGAACGATGTACCGGAAGCGGGGCTGGCCGCGCCTCTTGACCACGTACAGGGTGCCCTCCACATCGGTCTTAATCTGCAGGGGTTCAAGGAAAGGCAGCCCGCAGTCAGAATGCACGCAGGGACTACAAGATTGTAGGGAGCACGAGCGGCCCGATGTTGCAAAGATGCCACCCAACTCACCCATGCAGGCCCCTCTGGATTGAATCGGTAGAGCACGACGTGGCTGACGGTGGCTAGGAGCTGCCATGCAAAGAGGCATGAAGGGAGGGACAGTGGGGCAGCTGCCCAGGGTGCGGAGTGGGAGTGGTGCCAAGCACCCGATCGCACCGTACCTCCTCGATATCAGGATCGATGCGCTTCAATACCCCGATGGCTTTCTGATCTGCGGCCTCTCTGTTCAGCACTGGCTTCATCGCGGCCATCGCGCCTCGGAAAGAAGACCGGGGCGGGCTAAGGGAAGCGCTGCGTACCTCTGTGATGTGTCATACACACATGCAATGCTGCGATGCCAGTGATTGATGTCTCGCACCGCATGGGCCTTGTTGTGTATGCTCATGGACGTTAGAGTGTTGATCGTGCGCAGCACACGGGGCATGGAGTCCAGCGCCCGATGAGAGGAATCGAACGGCAGAGCTCCAGACGGAGATCTGAAGGCGCCCTTGATACGAGCAATGCGGTGTTGATCTTTAGGCTAAAACTTGAACAGCTGCGGATCAAGACCCACTCCGAATTGATCCCATCTTTGCACCTGCTAGCCCGGCGTGTACCCAGTGTCTCTCGGGACCATGCACGCGTCGGACGCATGAGCCCAGAGCCAATCTAGCATGCTTACCGTCATCATTACCCTCCTGGTAAGATCGAGGCATCGATCGTCAGGGCACTCTGGGATCAGGAGCGGGTCTTGAGGTCGACCAGTCTCGGCACCTGTCTCTCCTGATGAAGGCACTTGGTCTGCTCAAGCTGACAGGGATCCGAACTGCTGTACCCTGTCCAGGCCGGTGCGCTGCTTCTCGCTGCGTGGATCGCATCAAACGTGCTGCAACAACTCAACAAGGAGAGTGCATTCAGCGGGCCCGCCGCCTCCTTTGAGAACCCCATCAACCTCGACAAGGTGGGTTCAGCTGTGGGGATGCTCCAGCAGGGGTGCGGCATGTGGATCAGAGATGCATGCCTGATCCCTGCTCAAGCCTTGCATCGTCTGTTCAAATACTGTGTCCCGTCATCTTCCCTCCCCATTGCCCTGTTACTGGCCCCTGCAGGTACCCACTTCATCGCTCTTTGATGAAGCCACCAAGGCCCTGAGCATCGTCATTCCCGCGTATAATGAGGAGTTCCGGCTGGGGTCAACGCTCGACGAGACCTTCAGGTGTGGCAGGGGCTTGCTGTGTTGCCAGACAGGGTCCCCATTCACCCTCCCCCAATTGCCGGGTGTGCTGGAGGGTTCTCGGTATCAGCCTCCGCTCCCACCAATCAACAAAAACCGCTCTCCTTGAACGCGCCACGCAGCTACCTGCAGCGGCGCCGGGATCAAAGGGGGCCCTATTTCACCTACGAGGTCATTGTGGTCGACGACGGAAGCCAGGATGCCACTGTGGGGTGAGCAGGCACTGATTTTGTGGCGTGCCGTGTGTACCCTTTGCCATTTAAACGTTGCCTTGACATGGATGTCAGGGCTCACCAGCATGGGTGCTGACTGGCGTGAGGCCTTGGCTGAAGCCCTGGGACCTCGGGACATCATCTTCCTTGGCGTTGCGGCCGGTCTGGGGGCATGCGGGCGGTCGGGGCGTCCTCCCCAAGTCCTCAACAAGTAGTATCCACTCGCCGCCACCAGCCACATGCACTTGAATCCCTGGCAGGTGTGCGGCCAAGTTCACCCGCAAGCATGGCGTGGATGCGCTGCGCACGCTGCGCCTCCCCCAGAATCGCGGCAAGGGCTACGCCGTCCGGGCAGGAGTGCTGGTCGCGAGAGGTGATCATATGGGGGCTCCCGGGGGCGGGGAGAATGGGATGGCATGTCAATGCAGGGGGGTCAGTCTGCGTGCAGAATCGCTGCCTGAGTGGCACGGAGGTCTCAAATCGATTCACTCTACCCACCGCTCAGGGCAAAACATCCTGCTCATGGATGCTGATGGGGCGACACGCGTGTCTGACCTGGAGCGTCTAGAAAGCGCGGCACAGGACGTCATGCAGCAAGGTGACTTGGGATGGGGTGTGGGCTTGGGGTTGGGTCAGCCTGAGCCACTTGCGGTTTTGTTGCGGGCTGTTCTCCGAGCCAGCAGGAGGGTCACTGCAGTACTGTCACCCTTGCCAGGGTGACTGATTTCGTGCCATTGGTTGGATTGTCCTCAGGCAGGCTCGATAACACCTTCACAACAACAGGTAAGGAGAGCCTGGAGCCGAGCGGGGGCAGTCCTCCCCACCAGGCGTTTGTCCTTGGCTCAAGGGCCTACCTCGAGGTGGGTACGGCGCACGGGCATGCTCAGGCTGTGCCCAGATGACAGGGATTTTCATCAGAAGCGCCCTGCATTCCAGGCAGCGCCCCCTCCTCCATGGCCCCTCGGAGAGGATCCTGCAGTGGTGTGCATCGCATCGCCATGAAGTGAGCCACCCCATCCCCATCCCCGGCCATGCCTTCAGGAGTCGAGTAAGGCCAAGCGTACGGCGCTGCGCACTTTCCTCATGCACGGATTCCACTTCCTGGTGGCTCTGGTGGTGGGAAGGAGCATCCAGGACACCCAGTGTGGCTTCAAGGTACCCATTGCAGCCCGAATGGTGACTGTGATTGCACATGTACAGGACAGCGGGGGTCCTTCAAGAAGTGGTTCATCACATGCCTCGCGGTTGACCTGGAGGGCTACCCGCCGCGCCCCAGCCCTCTTCCCACTCCCCTTAATTTCAACCAACCCCGCTGCAGCTGTTTACCCGGGATGCCGCAAGGCGCATCTTCCCCAACCAGCGGCTGCAGCGCTGGTGCTTTGACGTGGAGCTGGTCCACCTGGCCCAGAGTCTCAACGCAAGTGGATGCACGATTGGACTGGCAGGGGCCAGAGTTTTATGTGTGGAGATGTGGAAGGGCAAGCCCCCGGAAGCTGCACCTTGGCAGCCAGGGGTCTGTGCCAGGCATGTCTTCCACTCACTGTGCCACCTGGCTTGCAAGGTGTGACGCCGACGGCCCCAAACCCCCCGCCCCCCTCTCCCACGCAGATACCCATGGCCGAGGTGCAGGTGACATGGACGGAGATTCCAGGGTCAAAGCTGCGAGTCACATCTGTCATCTCCATGGCCCTGGAGCTGGTGCTCGTCAAGGTGGGTTGCTAGCAAAGGTGGCAATAGCTGGGCAAGGGGAGGGGGGCGACGCCGATGACACACTGGCTGTGCGCTATTTCTTATTATTTCCAATGCCTGGGGCGTCCCTAGCAGGTAACCCCTTTGCACGCTTCCTCGTGCAGGTCGGGTATGGCACGGGAGCATGGCCTCTGCATGGCCACCTGGACCTCCAGCGCTAGACCCATGGAGGGGGTACGTGGGAGGCGGGAGTGAGGTCATGTCGCCCCTTCCCCCTCCATTGCGCATCATACCGCCCCTCCCTGCAAGCTGCCTGTGCTGTGGTTTGGGTTGTCACAGGCGGTCACTCACCCACACACTGGCGTGGCCCTGTGTCTGGCTGCTGCAGTCTGACCCCGTGCAAGCTTTTCTGTGAGCACGCATCGCAGCGACAGCGGAGCACGGCACCCAACTTCTTGCACACACGTGTGGATACAGTGTCCTCCCCGCGCATCACTGCCTCCAGAGCTTCAGCACCCGGTCCTTTCCCCCCGAGGCCACCGAGGCGCCGTCGGGTGACCAGTCCGCGCAGTACACCTCGTCCGCGTGCCCCGGCAGGTCCATGGCCAGCTTCCGCGTCCGCGCGTCCCACACCTTGAGCGTGCTGTCCTTGGACCCCGACACCAACAGCCGGCTGTCGGCGGACCAGGCCACCTGATACACGGCGCCCACGTGGCCGCGCAGCGTGCCGATGAAGGTGCCCTTGGCCCCGTCCCACAGCTTGACTGACTTGTCAAAGCTGGCGGAGGCGATGACCCGGCCGTCGGGGGAAAACAGCACCTGCGTTTGATGAGTTGTGGGAGAGGGTAAGGGGGGGGGGGGGGTTCGAGGGGAGGGGGGGGAGTGTGATGCATGGGTGGACTTGGAGGGTTCTCAACGCATGTGCAGGTGCCCGACAGCTGGTCACCGTGGACATCTTCCTCGCTGCACTCAGACCAGCTGCCGCCGGCCACCGGCGAGGAGCCCGGCCACGCGCAGGAGGGCACCGCATTCCAACCCCACGGCAGCTACCGTGCACAGCCCACCACCGCCCATCCCTGCCCGACACACGATCAACCAACCTGGTTGACCAGCTGCATGTGGCCCGTCATGCGCGCCACGGGAGTGCGAGACTGCGCCGGCTCCCACAGGAAGAGCGTGTAGTCGTCGGAGCCGGTGGCGAGGCGCTCCGGCGCGCCGCGCCGCGCGGCGTCATACCGCTTCCGCGCGGCGGCCTGCGGGTCCTCCGGCAGCGCGCCCGTGTGGTCGTAGGCGCCGGTGCGCAGTGCATAGTCGGTGGAAAGCGCCATGGTGTTGACCCAGTGCCCGTGCCCCTTCAGGCTGCGAATGCGCAAGGGGAGAAAGGATGAAGGGCTTGGCGGGCCGGGGGCAGGAGGGGGAGCGGGGCCAGAGAGCAAGCAGGCGGGCAGGGGAGTGGGGTGATGGGCTGGGGTGCACTGCCTTCCCTGCCCGAGTCCAGCAGGCCACACCAGGCAAGCAGATGCAGGATGTGTGTGAGACCGCCCCCTCACCTGTGAATGAGGTGCCCGTCCTTGGCGTCCCAGACGTTGATGCTGCAGTCTCGGGAGGCAGAGTAGATGTGGCCTTCGCCCCCCCACCGCACCGCAGTGACGGCCGCCGTGTGGCTGCTCATGGTGAAGAGGCAGCGCCTGGCATGGGTTGGGGGGGTGGAGCGCAAGCTAGGTCAGGGCCTGGCATAGGAAGGCCCAAGTGATGAGACATGTGTGCAGCCCAGGATGCCGCCCCCCTCAGGCAGGACCATTCCAGGAGCGGCAATGATGCCCACAATCAAACCCATAACCAGACCACCACACATACCTCAGGTTGGCATCCCAAACTTTGATGGTGGCGTCCTTTGACCCGGAGCAGAAGCGCCTGGCGGGAAGCTCAGCATGTGCCGGCTCCCATGCCAGGCTGCTCACGTAGTTCTTGTGGCCCTGTGGAGGCACCAGGAGGGATGGGCGATAACGAGGAAGGCCCTTGAAATGGGGCCCTATCACAGGAGAGCTGCTGCTGAATGACTACAACACCCTTGCAGCAGGCTCATAGACCTGGACGACCTCCTCCTCCCGGCCCCACCTTGCACTGTCCCACAGCTTTGCCGGTGGTGGGATCCCAGAGGAAGATCTCCCCACTTCGGTCACCAGATGCAACAAGCTTAGCATCCGGAGACCAGGCCACTACCAGGACCCAGCTCTTGTGCGCCTGGGGGCATTGAACAGAGGATGTGGGGGGAAATTAGGCTACAGGAAGGGGTGCTGTGAGAGAGTGATGTAGCCAGTGCAGCAAATGATGAGGTGCACAGTGGAGATGCATGCAGAGCTGAGGATACTGTCAGCGAAAGAATCTCTGGACACGATTTTATTGGTTTCGCGCAGCTTGATGTCTCTTTCCGGCTCTGCAAGTATATAACTTTCTTGAGACTTCACAAACCAAGGGAGGAAACCACGATGGAGCCCTGCCTCCCGCCCACCCACCGCACTCTCACCTGCCCTGTAAAGCGTGGCGTCTGGGTGTTCAGGTCCCAGAATCGGACCGTGGTGTCCCCAGACCCGCTGGCCAGGTGGCGACCGTTGGGCGAGAAGTTGACAGAAAGCACGGCGTCGCCGTGCCCGGCCATGCTGGCGGAGCAGCGGGCGACGGGGCGGACCCTGAACAGGGCCTGGGGCTGGTACACCACTCGCAGCACGCGCTCAATGGACGTCTGGCATGAGTGGAAAGGGGCAGTGGGTCGAGGGATTGGGGTAGAGCGCGCTAAAATGGAGGGTGCAGCATGCACCCTGACCAGGTAGCGGCTCGAGTAGGCATGAGGAGCAGGACCACGCCTTGCAGATTATAAAAAGGCTCGACCACACCTTGTTGTGGAGCAGGTGGGCCCCTAACTCCTGGACCACCTCCTTATCATCGATGTGGAAGGAGTAGGGAACCTTCTCCCCATCCTCGGCCTTCAGCACACTGTTCAGCAGGATCTCCAGCTGGGGTGTGGACACGTTGGTAGGGATGTCTAGCTGTGGACCTGGGAAGGAAGGGGTTGGCGGCAGGATATGAGAAGTTCGTTGCGATGGGGATGCTCGTGGTGGCGATGTTCAATACCGAGGGCTACGCGCCCTGCCCTCCAGCACATTCACATCTCGCCCACCTGTGACCTCCCCCTCCTGGGACTGAAACTGGATGACGACATTGGCAACCACCGGCTCGGGCGGGGACAGCTTCTGCTGCTTGGCACGGGGTGCCATCCCTATGCCGCCTAGGTATCCCCCCTACTGTGGCTGCCTGCGTGCTCGCCCTCCCTGGACGCACTCGGCCGCCCTGGCGGGCTCACAGTGCAGGTGGGTACCTATGCAGAGATCACACCACACGCATGAACCACCTGGAATATGGAATCGCTGGATAAAACACTCTCGATGCTCTTGATTTGTCAAAGTAAGGGTCACTGCTGTTGTTTACCATGTGTCCGTCCCGACAACAAATCGTGCGCTAGAGGGCGCCCGGAGCCTACACCAGCGCGCGCGCTCAAATTCCATGCATGCGACACAGAGTCGGGCTTGGGCACGGAGAGAAGCTGAACCTGGTTATTTAGGAGCTCCCGTCTCTATGTATGTTTGCTTCTGATATTGGAAGAGCTACGTTTCCCGTGGCGGACATTGTGCCACCTCCCCCAGCCAACAGCGTCATACCTTATGAAGCTAGACGTTAATGTGCTGCGATACCTTGGAAAAGATGACTTCAGAGTACTCACTGCCGTCGAGATGGGTCAGAAGAACGTGCGTTTCCGTGGAGAGTACTGAACCTGCACTCGCCTTGAGAATACTCCCAGGAGTGCTGTTCTCTGCAATTTTGTATGAGCCGACCTTGTCACTCCCCACATGTCACAGCACGAAATCGTTCCTTCCAGCTTGGTAGACACCATCGCCAGTCTCAAGTACGTCCTTCATGCAGCTCTGGGTCCGAAGAGGCTGTGTCGAGGGGAGGCTCTCTCCTGTGATGTGTGCAGTGTCTGTGAATTGACTGAATGCTTGATGCGACCTGCCACAGGCACGGGGGAACGCACAAGTGCTTGAAGGAGCTCTTACGACACAAGCTGGTTCACCATGAGTCCAAGAAGTGAGAGGCAGGAGGAGAGAGGGTTGTTGGCTTGTCCTGTCTGTTCTGGAAGCGTGGCTTCCTCCCCGCTCCTCAGCCAAGTTCCATCTGGCACACCCAGCCCTCGCCCCTTCTGCATTCTGATCTTCACCCCTTGTATCCCAACACCTCAATACATAGGTATGACGGGTACCGCCTCACCAACATGGGGTACGACTTCCTGGCAATCAAGACTCTCACGGCCCGAGGTGTAATGAGCAGCGTGGGTCGCAAGGTGAGGGGCAGTTGCGGGGGCTGATATTTGCACATGAGTGGATGTCTTGATGGACTCGACATAAGCTCTGGAGCTGTCAAGTCAGGATTAGGACTGGAGGCACAACTCAGGGTCCCTGCCTGCTCATCCTGGGCTCGCTGCCCGGCCAGAAGCCAAGGTTGGTCCAGGACTTCACACCCCTGTGTGGTCCCTCCTCCCCAGCCCACACCCACGCTTCCATTTCCCATCGGTTCCCAGATTGGCGTCGGTAAGGAGGCCGATGTGTACGAGGTCGCAGACGACGAGGGCAACCGCATGTGCCTGAAGCTGCACCGGCTGGGGCGCACCTCCTTCCGGGCGGTCAAGTCCAAGCGCGACTACCTGAGGCAGGGCTCCCACTACAGCTGGCTCTACCTCTCCCGCCTCTCGGCGGTCAAGGAGTTTGCCTTCATGAGGGCGCTGCAGACCAGGGGCCTCCCCGTCCCGGAGGCCATTGACCAGAATCGACATGCGGTGCTCATGAGCCTGGTGGACGCATTCCCCTTGGTCCAGGTCGGGTAGCGTGGGGAGCCAGGGCGCGAGGTGGCTCCTGGGGCAGACTAGATTGTGCAGAGGGCTGTAAGAGGGACCCATTTCTCGAAGCGGTGGAGATGACGTGTGCATCCCAAAATTATCTGGCGGAGAGGGCTCGTGAAGGATGTGGGGAGCACATCTCCCGATGCACGCTCGCACCCGACCTGTCTTCATGGCTTGGCTGCCAGTACATCCCCTAAACCTGCTCATCACCAATGCATGCAGATCAAGGAACTGGCCAGCCCTGCCAGGATCTACACCCAGCTCATCGACCTCATGGAGCGGCTGGCACAGATGGGCCTGGTGCACTGCGACTTCAACGAGTTCAACATCCTGGTAAGAGTTTGGGGACCGTGACAGGGGATGGGGGGAGTACGTGAGAGATCCTGGGGGCAGCCCAGCGGTGGGCTTCAGATAGTTGTTCCCATGCTGGACAGGGGCTGAGGGAGATGACCTGCAGCCGTGCCGGGCCCCACCCCTGCCTAATTGGACGTCCCCAACCCTACTCACTGTCTCTGCTCCTTCCACGCCCCCCATCGCAAGCAGATCAATGAGGAGGAGGAGATCACGCTGATTGATTTTCCCCAGATGGTGTCCACCAACCATGCCAATGCAGAGGTAGGAGGTGCCGCACTCGATCCTTCTGTGCCCTCGTCTCTGCGCGAGTGCCCCAACGTGAAATCTTTTCCTTTGCCGCCCCTGGACAGGAGCTGTTTGAGCGAGACGTTGACTGCCTCATCCGCTTCTTCTCCAAGAAGCTGGGGTATGTGCCATCGTTGGACTCGGCGCTGAAGCGTGTCCGGCCCAACTTCCAGGCGAGAGTCAGACTTCCCCTGGGTGGGCAGAGATGCGTCGTGCGAATGCCTGGCAATGCAGGCGCTCACATGACCTCGTTTTGGCAGGGCCACATCGCCATCGACTGATGGTATCCCTCTCACATGCAGCTGGCCTCGCCGTCTGCCGGGGATCTGGACTCTGAGCTCCGCGCATCTGGCTTCAAGCGTGAGCACCAAGCGGCTCTGGACAGGTGAGACGCTAACCCAGAGCGTGCAGGTTGGGTGGGAATGCTGCCTCTGGGTGCTGAGCCTGTGGCACTGTATGGTGAATTGACAAGCCTGCGGCACCTGCAAAGTCCGGCCTCCCCCATGCCTTGGCACAATGTCCACAGTGTGGCAGAGGATGACAGTGACAGTGAGGCTGGAAGTGGCGAGGAGGAGGAGGAGGAGGAGAGCAGCTCTGAGCCAGAGTGTGAGCCAGAGGCAAGCAGCAGCAGCGGCAGTGATGGAGAGGAGGAGGAGGACAGCGAAGAGGAGGCCAGTGAGGAGGAGGCGGATACAAAGGCAGGGCGGGCTTCCCCGGCAGCAGTGGCGGCGACGGAGAAGCCCAGGGAAGGAGTCGCAGAAGCTTCCGGGAAGGATTCAGACAACGATGATGCGGCCTCCTTGAGCACAGTAGCCACGGGGATTTTGAGCATGCGCATCTCGGGCCGACCAACGCCGGCTGTGAGTTTGGTGGGCGGATGAATGGCAGGGTGGGAGGCGGGACGGGATGCCACTCAGGCGGGACGCTTTGGAGAGAGGCATCGGGTAAACTTGTAAAACGCCAACCCCCAGGCATCCACGAGGTGCTCGAATGCTGCGAGCAGAACCCACGTGACCCCGGACCGCTGCACTGCGCAGGGGCCCAATGTAGTGGCAGACACACTGCGTCAGCAGCAGAAGCGGGCGGCGCGGAGGGCTGCAATGGCGAGCGCGTCTCGGAACGCGATGAAGGGGAGGAACAAGGGAAAGCGGAAGGGGGAGGGGGCGGATGGTGGCGGCGGTGGCCTCACATGGGGCTGAGGCCGCAGAGGCGGTGCTGAGGGCTGCTGGTAGGCTTTCCGTTCAGGTTCATGCTATGTTCGGCTGTACGATGAACGAGCAAGTGAAGACCGGGAATGCAGAGTGGCAGTGAGGGCTGAGTACGGGTGAAAGGAGCATGTTTTGGCAGCCGCAGGCCTTGAATGACGATAAGGACGGGGTAACTTTCTGCTCATTGGTAGGAGGGCTCTCAGCTCCCCAGTATGACGCAAAAGGTCACACCCACAACCACCTGGCACCAGCACTCGCCTCCAGCGATCGAGTGCCCCTAATGGAGTGGCTTTCATTATTGCACGGTCAGGGTGGTGAGACCTCGGTCCAGGTGGTACACATGAGTACGGTTATTGGTGATACAGAATGCTGGAACAAGGGCGAGTGCGGGGCTCCCAAAGGAGGAGGGTCTGGCTCCCAGAGCTGCCTCAAGCCCGCCCTCATGAAGCACAGCGCTCAGGCCTCCTCCGCCAGCGCCGCCAGCCAGGGCCCGAAGGCCGCCTCGGTCACCCCGCACACGGCCTCCAGCTGCGCCGCCAGCTGTCGGACTTCTGGCTCCAGCTCTGCGGCGCCGCAGCGCACCAGCGCGCGGCGCGCGGCGCCCCCGCCGCCCAGCAGCGTCAGCATCAGGGCCTGGGACAGGCCCTGCGTCAGCACGCGTAGCGCGGGCCCATTCCTGGCCACCAGGCGGCGCAGGCCGGCCAGCAGCGCTGCCTCCGCGCGCGCGTCGGGCGCGCCCCCGCCCAGCCGCTGGACCAGCGCCGCGATGTCGGCGGGGTTCGACCCCGGGTCGCGCAGTGTGGCCAGCAGCCGTCGCTTGGCGTCGTTGGTCAGAGGGGCCGGGGCGGAGGTGTTCGTGGCAGCGTCGTTCGGGTCCGCGGCAGCGTCGCCCGGGTCCGCGGCAGCGTCGTCCGGGTCTGCAGCAACATCGGCGAGCGGCGCGACCCTGTCGCCGCCCCTGGCCACGGTGCGCAGGAGCAGGAGGCAGGCGTTCAGGACCAGTGTCTGCTGGAAAGCCTCCTGGGCTGCCACCAGGCGGCCGCGATCCGGCACAGCCACTTCGGGGGCCGCCAGCCGCGCCACGGCGCCCTCCCCCGCCGCCAGCTGCACTGCGCCGATGCGCAGCAGGCCCCGCCAGGACCCAGGGGCCGGCGCTGTGGGCGCAGGGGAGCCAAGGTCGTTGCCAGTGAGCGCACCAGGGCGCTCGCCGCGGTTGCGGGCACCCGCACCCCCGCCTGCCTGCCGCGTACCGGTGGCCATACGCGGCGGCAGGCGGGCCGCCGGGCCGGCGCCCAGCTGCGGCGCCAGGGCGGGGACCTGGCCGGAAGCCAGCGCCAGCCAGGCGGCCGTGCGCGGCAGGCGGGCACGCAGCGCAGCCGCGCCGGCGGCCGGCGATGGCAACGCGCCCGCCAAGTGGCGCCGCGCCTGCTCTGCGCACCCACGCACGGAAAGCGCGGCCACCAGGCCCTCCAGCTGCGCATTGGCCAGGTGCAGGCGCGCAAGGCGCAGCTGGGCGCACAGCGCGCGCAGCGTGTGCACCGCCAGGTCAGCGGCGAGGGTTGGGGGGGGGGGCGGCTGTGCCCGTGGGCTCGGCGCTCTCCGACGCCGATCCTGCCAGCGACGCGCAGGCGCGCTCCGCCTCCGGGTGGAGCTCTTTGGGCAGCAGCTGGATGGACCACCTCAGCAGGCCCAGCAGGGGCTGATGCAGGGGCGTTGCATGAGACTCGCCCAGCAGGGTCCGCAGCTTGTCGGTGCTGAGGTGGGCGCCCACCACCTCGATCAATGAAGAGGCGGGGTCCAGTGCGTCCAGCAGCTCTGCCGCCTGCTCAGACAAGATTGCATGCACCTGTGGTGGGAAATGTGAGGGAGGACAGGCCCGAGGATGAGAGAGATGTGGCCAGGCAGGTTGAAGCAGGGGGGTGACTCTGTTCAAATGCTCCCCCTTCATGGGTTTCCCAATCAAGAGGTCGCTGCTGCCCCCTTTCTACGGGACGTCAAGCCACAAGCTTTACCCACCCGCTGCAAGACGCCGCGCCGCGCCGTCTCGCCGGCCGTCCCTGCGGTGTCAGCCTTGTTCAAGTCGTGGCGCAGCCCGTCCCAGAACGCCGCCTCCGCGATGGTCCTCAACCGCGCGGCGTCGACCCTCCCGCTCCCGGCGTCGACCACGGGGCGCGAAGCCATGTCCGGGCCGGTCTCTGCGCGCACAGCACCGCGCCACGCGCCTTCGGCTTCCTCTGTCGGCAGGCGCCAGGTGGGTTCGTGCAGGAGCTGCCAGAGCAGCCTGAAGTTGGGGTGCTGTGCCAGGAAGGCGTCCACGTCCCAGGCGTCTATCGTCTGCGCCACACCACCTTCTCCGCCCTCCTCGGCGGCGGCGGCCGGCTGGGAGGTAGTGCCACGCCCCTGCCCCTCAGCGCCATCGAGTCCCGGCGCCCCTCCCACCGCCTCGCCCTCCCCCGGCGTGGCGCGCAGGGCGGCCTCTAGCCGGCGCAGCCCCGCCCGCCCGGTCAGCTGCAGCACCCGCTCGCGCAGGAGGGCGAGGTCGGCCTGCAGCGCCGCCTCCAGAGCCGCCATGTCTGGCGCGCTGCGTGCGCGCACATCTCGCGCCGCGCTTTCCTCCCGCTTGCGCGCGGCCGAGGCCTGCAGCTCCACCGCGATGCGGATGAGATCGGCCTCGAGCGCGGCGGCGTCGGCCGCCTTCCAGGCCACGAAGAGCTCCAGGTACTCCACCCAGGCCGCGTCAAAGGCGGGCAGGGCCGCCGTGGGAGTGGGGTCCTGCGTGGCCGTGCGCGAAGCCGCGTCGCCGTCCAATGCCTCTCCGCCCTCAACCCAGGCGAGGGCCACGGCGCGCAGCGCGGCGGCGAGGCGCGCCCCGGCGTGCACCAGGCCGGCCTCCTGGCCGCCGAGCCCGCTCAGCACGACCTCGGGGTGGGTGGCCACCGCGTAGGCCGACAGCACCACGCGTGCGGGGTAGCGCGGCACGCGCGCGGCGCTGGGAGGGAAGACGCGTCGCAGCAGGTGGCCCAGGGGCGGCAGGGGTCCGGGGTGGCGAGCGCGGACGGCGCCCAGCAGCGCGCCCGTCGCGCGCAGCGTGGCCGGACTGCCCAGCGCCGCCGTCAGGCGGTCGAAGCGCGCGCTGACGGCGGCCAGAGGCGCGTCGCTGCTCGCGGCGACGTGCACCGCGGCGGCCAGAGCAGTGGACCCGGGTGCCAGCGACGGGCTGGGCGAGGGGCTCACAATCACGGGCAGGTCCAGGCGCAGGAATGCGGCGGCCGCCTCGACGGGCGAGGGCGGGTCTGGCTGCTCGGCGGCGGGCGCGGGGGAGGGCGCGGGGGAGGGCGCGGGGCGCTCGTCGCCGTGAGGTCACGCGGGCTCGGCCGCGGGGAGGCTCGACTCCGGCGCATGTACGACACCTTGGATGGGCCGCGGCTGGGGGCCCGCTTTAGATGAGCCAGAGACCGGCGCGGCGGGACCAATGCCCCTGGGCGCGGCGCCCACGCCCCTGGCTCCCCCAGCCACGCGGGCCCCGGCGGCCGCCTTGCGCTCCAGACGGAGGACCAGGGCGGCCCGCTGCCTCGCCATTCTCTCGCTGGCGGCGGCCGCCCTGTGCTTGGATCTGGCCGCGCGTGCCCTCACCGCCTCCAGGCTGCGTTCCCGGTTCCGCCAGGCCAGCTCCAGCTTGGTCTGGAGGAGGATTATAAGGGGTGGCACAGGGTTCGGGGAGGATTGCTTATCACTGCTCCCACACAGGTACCAAGAATTTGTGCAGAGTGCATGGACAGGGAGCCACGATGCCAGAGCTGAGCAGAGCGCAGAGGAATCACATCCTCCCACCCGCTTTCACACATGCTCTCACCTGGAGTTTTGCAGCCAGGTGGTCGACTGCTGTCGCCCGCCGAGGCCTGTCGCTGTCATCTGAAGAGCAAGATGAACGTCTAGCCTGGCTACCCCGGCTCCTCAGGTGAATCTGCGAGGAGGGAGGGCGGGGTGTGCCAGTGGGATCGCCAGATCCCACCCCACACCGGACTCCCCAAGGCAGCAAGATGCCCCCTAATCGGCCTCTCAGATCTTTCGGAATGTCATTAGCGGTTCTGGGTCCCACACAGATATGCATAACGCAGAATATACGACCCACAACACCGTAGATTCCACCCCTGCAATTCTTCCCTGTGCGAGCACAATTCATGGTCCTCGAACACCGCACAAGCACCTCACCTCCCTCCTTTCCGCTGCCAAAGCTAGTTTGATGTCTATTTCGGTGTGAGAGGGAAAGGTGGGTGAACTGTCCGATTTCGTCCAGGCCCAGGGCTTCCTGCCTCGGCGTGTGTCCCCGGCCAGCGTCATCGTCGGGCCTTCCGTCATGTTGGAGACCTTTCGAACAATCCCAAGAGCATGACAAGAACCCAACAATCTATTTTCCTTCCGCTTTCGCCTTGGTGCGAGGGTTTGTTCTTTCGGAGGCTCGATGGCTCGATGGCTCGATGGCTATTCGTTGGGTGTACCGGACACGTGGGACACGTGGACATACAGCCCCCGGGGTGAGGACCCTACATTTTACAATCTCTCTTTCCATTTTTGAAACAAGACTGCAAACCTTGGAAGAGATGCTCCCCAGCGTCTCGCGACAGCATATGCTCGTCATAATCATATCTTTTAGCTTGCAAATGATGCGGAACGTGTCTAAGACATCCATACCCACAAGAGGTCGTATACACGGTGGCCCAGCTGGTGGCCGCCGGGACTACTGAGGAAGATACCAGCTAAAAGGCTCTCACAACTCAAGTTACGATCCCCACGGAGCGCATGTATGACTCTCTGCAAGGCTGGCGCCCCCGCTTCAGGACATCATTCAATCACACCCCCCGTCCTGCCACCAAGGTCCAGAGTTGAACTGTCACCCAACGGATGCCCGCTGCGAGACCTCCCCGGCTCGATTGTCCTTCCCGCACTCGCCTGAGCTCTTCAACACACACAGGCCTTGGTCTTCCTCAAAGAATTCACGTGCGCCCGTGATCCGGGCAAACCTGAATGGGTGAAGAACTACGACGCCAGACAGCGGGAGGGCAAGACCAGCAAGAATCGCCGCTGCTCTCACAAGACCGGCTGCGAGCACCACTTCTCCATCAAGCAGCCGAGGCGGGAGCCAGGAAAATCCCTTGTCTTCTAGTACGCCATCCCACACTTTGGCCATGACAGTGACACCCTGCAGTGTCCTCGCTTACCGTGCTGAATGTGAGCTCTTGCAGGTACCTTGCTGACCATCAACCCTGCCTTTTCCAACACCGACATCTGCGGAGCGGTTCAAGCGGCTGCAATGCGTCAAGCCAGGATAGGTTAGACGCAGTACACTCGTGTAGTGGACAACAGGACCTTCCTGTGGGTGCATCCTGAACCGTGCCGGGACTACATGATCTCCGGCCAACATGTCTAGTAGCCTGCTCATTGCAGTTACTCAAGTCCAGTATTCTGCACTCCCATGCATTCAGAGAGTCACATCCTTTGTGCATCCTGTCGCAGGAACATTCGTCAAGCCAAGCGGTTAAACCTGTGGATGCTGCACCAAATTGCAGCCACCAGCCCGATGATGACTGTCCAAGCTCGGCGTTCTGACTTTCCCATTTTCCAGCATGACGAACAGGGGCTGGCAGACCTCGTCGAGCTCAACGAGAACCATCAGCGTGTCCTGCGCGACTATGCGCATGGCTGCCCCGTGTGGATCGAAAGCACGCATGGCACCAGTGACCTGAAGGTACGACGGCACTGGCAGCCATGCAGTGTGAGGCCTTCGCCTCCGGATGCCACTTTGGTAAGAAAGGCTGACCTCCCAGACGTCCCTTACTCCTCCTCTGTACAGCTCGAATCCCTCCTAATGATCGCGGTGGAGTCGGGCAATCGGGTGCACTGCGGGTCTGTGGCGCTTCTCAGACACGAGCGAGTGTGGGGCATCAAGGAATGGCTGAACGGTATCATGATTATCATTGTAATGCTGGATATGGGGGAGCACTTGCAGAAGATGACGGTTGAGGAAAACTGGTGGGCTTGGCTTCCAGCCTTGCCTGCATCCAAGCAAAACTATGCCGAAGAGATACCCTTCTGCAACTGCTCCCCCAAACTCGGCAGTAGTATGATAATCAGGGACTCTGAGGCGAAGCGGGTTTCCCTACACAATGCTGGTGTATTGGATGGCAACATGTGGTGTGCCACAAATGTCCTTAGGGTCCCAATTTGCCCTGCATTGTGATTTGGTCTGGCGGCGGAGCATGCAACATGTCAGCCAAAAGGGAAGAAGGGAATTCCGAGATGCAACGGAGCCTTGTGGAATCGCAAATTGCTCCGGATCTTTCAGGGGATTCGCGAATTTCGACAGCCCCGCGCACAGGAACAAACCCCAGGCCACGCCCCCAACAGATACTAGTTACAAGGTGTGGGCATGACCAGTATTGGCATGAGTGATGACATGTGAGCACTGGGACCAGATGTGAGCAAGGCAAAGAATGACTGCCGGCTGGGCTGTGGGGCATGAACCCCCCAGCTCCCTGCCATGCATGCTGACTAGCTACTCTAGATACAGGGGAAGAGGACGGTTCCGAGGGTTGTCAGAGGGTTGTCAGGGGTCGCCGGGCCATCAGCACCGCCGGCACTGTCTGTCGCCCAAAAGGCAGTGCGGAACAGCGAGCCGTCAGATGTTCGTGATGCAGCGGCCATGTGGCGTCGCCGGGGCCAGTGGTGCGCGCTCCGGCACCGCCCCACACAGGATGCGCGTCGCCGGCTCCGTCCGGGCGTAGAGATCCGCGTCAGCTGCGCACGCGCCGCCTGCGGCTGGCGTGCTCCAGGGGGACCAGCGCCGCCAGGTCCATCTCCGAGGCGGCGCGGCGCGCGGCGCGGTGCACCGCCGCGCAGTCGCGTGGGTAGGTCCAGTGCATGCCCGTGAAGGCCAGCAGGCAGACCAGCCAGGGCAGGGCAAGCATGACCAGCAGCGCGTCGCCCAGTGCGCGCGCGTTGCGCGCCGACTCGGCGTCGTCCCGCCCCGCGCCCACCGTCCCACTGAAGCCGAAGCAGCGCTCCGCGGTCAGGCCCACCAGTGGGGCGCCAAAGGCGCCGATGGCGCCCTGAAGTAGGGAAGGTGGTCGGGGTGAGGGGGAGTGGTGGGGAGGGGGGACCCCTCCAGCGACCGACGAACCCGGCAGGGATCCTCGGTTCCCCCTCCCGCTGCCGAGGCCACGCCCCTCCCCCCTCAAAAGAAAAACCCTTGCCCTCGAACCTCGAAGCTCCGGTCAAAGGCGTAGATGGTGCTGCGCAGCTGCTCCGGCACCAGGTCGGCGAAGAGCGCAGAGTTGTTGCAGCCGCACCAGCTGACCAGCAGGCCCATGAGGAGCAGGACACCGGCGTAGGCGCCAAAGTGGGGGTCCCCCGCCACGGGCTGCGGTAGGCCCTTGATGAGCAGTACCGACAGCGGCAGGCCCAGCACCACTGCGCCGAGGTGGCGGGGAGGTTGGGGGGAGGTCGAGGAAGAGGTTGGGATCCGCTGAGGGCCGGACGTGTGGCAGCGAGCAACTCCCACCACATACATGTAAGAGGGAAACGGCAGGCATTGAGCCGGGCCCGCAAACTCTAAGCCCGCACTCATGAAGCTTCGGTCCGCATGCCCGCTGCAAACCATCCCGATCGCCCGCCCTCCCCATCATGAACCCCCCCCTGCCGCACCTGAGACCTGGTTGGCAAACACGCGGCCCGATCCAGGGTACCTGGCCGCCATCACATCCCCTGGCATAGCGTGAGGGGAGGGTACAGCTCGGCACCTGTCCCCCAGCTGCTCCGGCGCCGCAATGCCGCCGCCCCCTCACAACTCAGGCCAAGCAACCACTCCCCGGACCCCCCCCGCTTACCAATGTGCCCGCCGATGAGGCTTCCCACTGCGCACCCCAGCCCGAATATGGCCATGCAGGAGCTGGCTTGCAGGTCCGAGAATCCCAGAAGCTGTTGTCCCAAGTGGGGGTTTTGTGGAGGGGAAAGGGAGGTTGGGGCGGGGAAAGGGACGCTGTCCCAGGCCGTGGCAGTGCTCACACAAAATGACGCCCCCCCCCCCCCCCCCACCCACACACCCTGTCCTTGCTTCCCACCTGAAACCAGACAGTGAACATCACCATGGCCTGCCAGGGGATCGACCCCACCACCCCTGTTGGCAAGGCGGGTCATGTGCAGGGGTTGGGAAGATTAAAGGGAGCGGACGGGAGTGAGAGGCCCCCAATCTCTTGGCTGGATCCGGGCTCAGATCGTGGGGCAGGGCTTTGCTGGACCCCCGCCGCCCCGCCGCCGGCGCGGGGCATGGCCGCCCTCGTCCCTGCACGCAAAGTGCCTCACCTTGCAGGATCATGACTTGGAAGGAGCGGATGCCCAGTACCAGCCGCACCTCGCTCATCACGCTCCTGAATCCACTGGAGCTGCACACGGGGATTATGGCGGGCGGCTGGGGCCTGGGCGGCACGGAGCGCCTGCCCTGCATGCGTCCCTGCCCCAACAGGCAGGTGGAGGCCCGACAGGAGGCCGTCGGGGGCGCCCTGCCTGACCCTTCAGACCCACTCTCTCATGCATGCAGCCGGTGTCAGGCGAGGCTCACACCACCCCTGCTCCCCTTCACCGCCCCGCCACCCCAGCCCACCCATTCACAGCCACCGCGGCCCAGCCCTCGGGGATCCTGAGGGGTGCGTAGCCCGGCAGGTCCGGGCCCTCCTCCGGCATCGCCGCCTTGCGCGCCTGCAGGCTCTCCGGGCCGTACCTCACCACGTCGTGGGGAGGGCGCGGCGGCCGCGGCTCGCCGATGCCCCCGCTCCCCGTGCGCTGCAGAACTGCCAGCTGGCGCGGCAGCGGCACGGGGTCCTCGCCAAACCCGGGGCCGAAGGCGTGGCGCGGGTCCCGGGCCAGGTGCAGCACCAGGAACCCCGTGCCCAGGGAAATGGCGGCGACGAGGAAGAAAGCGAAGCGCCACCCCTCCACGCCATAAAACGTGCTGGACCCTGCGTTGGTGGCGAAGAAGGCGCCCACCATGCCGCCTGTGGACGGGATGCAGGAGGGCGGCAGGTGGGTCAAGCCTCTCCGGTTGGGATTCGGGAGGGGCCCTGCTGCTGGCACCGGGAGGGGGCCCGGCGAGGGTCCTCTACGAACATCACGCGAAGGAGCGAAATTGCTGACAACCTTGAGGCTCCCAGCGTGGGCCCCAGGCAGCAGGGCTTCATCTTGCAAGGCAGGGAAGGGAGAGGTTCCCTCTCGCAGCGATCCTTCCCCGCCTGAAGTACCCCCTCACCATCCTCCGTCCCCACACTTCCCTCCTCATCACTCACCCAGGCTGGACGTGAGTGACATGAGGCCGAACGCGCGGCCGCGCTGCTCGGCCGGGTGGCAGTCCGCCACCACGCTCTGCACGCTGGGGATCACGAGGGCCAGTCCCATGCCGTTGAAGGCGCACGCCACCATGGCCTGGCGCAGGGAGGTGGACACCCCCACCGCCACCGTCATCACCTGCACCGAGCGTGTGCGCAGGGCCGGGGTGGGGTCTGGCGATTGCGGTGCTGCGCGACGCGGCACGGGGCAGGTCAGGCGCCGGTCCATGCACCACACGCTGTGTGCAGTACCCGCCGTCCCGGCAGTACCCACGGCCGCTCACCCCCCAGATCAGGCACCCGGCTGTGACCACCCTGGTCCGATCGCATCTGTCGCCCAGGATGCCGCTGATGGGGGAGGACAGCGCCTGGTGGAGGGGTGAAGGATTGTGGGAAGGGGTCGGGGCTGGGGAGATATGGGATCCCCTGGGGCTACTCCATGGCGCGGCCCCTCCTACGCCCCAGGCAGGCAGCCAAACCCCGGGACAGGGTCAAAGAAGGCCAAACATGGTGCGACAGGCCCCAAGCACGCACCTGTACGATGGCCCTGCAGAGGGTGAGGGCCCCCAGCTGGGGCAGGGTGGCGTCCAGGCTGCGCCCGATGAAAAAGTAGACTGCAGGCAGGATGCCCTCGTCCATGCCTGCATCGCATGGGCTTGGTGATTGGTCAAACAGTGCAGACAGTGTCAGGCCAGGGGGAATACCGTGTCTCGGACGCCAGGCTCACGTTCCACGATGGAGGCCAGATTCATGAGGATGGGCGTCAGTTGCGTCCCGGCTCGCCGCTCCCATGTCGACATGCTGAGGCTCCCCTGTATCACGCACAGGACCCCCTAACGTTCGTCAAAAAATTCCATCAAGCCATCTGCCTGTCATCGGTGCATACGGACCGGCCCCGCAGCATGTGGTCACATTCTCTGCCAGGGGCTGGCGGGGCTGAGCAGGTAGCGGGCGGCATGAGTGAGAGCCCGGCCCGATGGACGCCTCTCCCTGTCCCTGCCTGCCTCGCCATGCCCTCGAGCTGGTGGAGGGCGCGGGGCATGCTGCGTGCGCGTGGTGTCCACTGCGCGGGGTGCGACCGCTCCAGATTCTCTGCGCGCGGCTGCAACATGTTATTGGATTCTCGGAGGACAAAGATGTGTTGGAAATCAGGTCACACCTCCGTTCCCACCAAAACCTCATGGTCTGGAACTCGAAGTTATGATTCTTGCTGTCCCCCATCATCAACCCCAACCCTCTGGCCCGACCTGCATCTCGTGTATATTACAGCGCTGGGGAAGGAGCGCAAATGGCCTTGCATGCACGTGTGTGGCAGATGAGCGGGGCAAAACATGGTTTGTATCTGACTGGGGCAGGCGGACAGCAAGCATGAGCGGGGAGGGCTGGGCCGAGCAGGTTGGGAGGGTGGGCATCGCCAGGCAAAAGCAATCGATTCATGCACACACGAGGTTGGGGCGGCGCCCGGTCGCCGGGCCGGCCCGCCGCGACGAAGGGAGGCGCGGGGGCCGGGGCGAGGGGAGGGGGCGGGCGGCGGTGGGGGCATGGGGAGAAACGAGGCTACGCGCAGTGGTGGACGGAGGGGTGTAAGAGAAGGGTTGGGCATCGTCGAGAAGGAGACAGTCCTGAAGCTGGGTGCGCGGGCGGGATCAACGGCGCTGCGCCCCCGGCGACCTCGCCGCCGCCGGGATGGGAGGGGGGGAAGGCGCGAGCGCCCAAACCCCGTGGCGTGGGCACAAGGGGGTCAAGCCAAGGAGGGGGCAGGGGGAAAGGTACTCCTCCGGAGGGGGGAGCTGGTCGGCCGAGGGCGGCGCCCCGTCCCCGGGCTGGGGCGCCGGCGCCCGCGTCAGCCCAGGAAGGAGGCGAAGAGGCCCGGGCCCAGGCCGCCGGCACCGCCGCGCACTGCCTGCGCGGCCGCGGGCCCGGGCTTGACGCCGAACGCGGCGCTGATCTTGCCGACGTCGATGCCGGAGGGCGCGGGCTTGCCCGGCCCCTCCTCGCCGCCAGGGGCGCTCTGCGGGCTGCCCCCTCGCGACTTGCCGGAGCCGTGCAGGACGGCGGGGGCGGAGGAGGCGACGCCGCCGCCCAGCCCCAGCGCGTCCCCTGCCGGGCCGGAGCCCGCGGAGGCCAGCGAGGCGCCGGCGTTGGACCCCGGCGCTGTGGGGATGGGGGTGGGCGCGCTGGGCACGCCCGGCGCGTTCCCGCCCGCGCCCGCGCCGGCGCGGGCCAGGCCGCCGAAGCGGCCGCCCAGGCCGTTGCCGTGCGCCTGGAAGGCGTGGTAGAAGTCGGCGGCGGAGGGCCCGCCACCCGCGGCGGAGGCCTGCAGGGCCGGGGGCATGCCAAAGGCCCCCGCGTAGGCCTCCCCCGCCACGACACCCGCGCCGCCGCCGCCCGCGGCGAGCAGCGCGGGCGCAAACTGCCCGTACCCCGCGGCGACATGCTGCGCGTGCGCCGCCGCGGCCAGGCCCGGGTCGTAGAGCGAGAAGGCGCGCGGGTCGGCGGCCGCGGCGGCGGGGGGCGGGAAGCCCGCTGCCCCTCCCAGCGCCGCTGCGCCCGCCGCGCGGCTGCTGGAGCGGCCCCATGAGATGCGGATGGCGCCGCCGCCCAGGGCCTGGCCGTTCATGGCGGCCAGGGCCTGCTCCGCCGCCACGCGCAGCACGAACTGGACGAAGCCGCAGCCCTTGCCCGCCGGTATCTTGACGTAGATGATGTCGCCGAAGCGGCCGAACACAGCGCGCAGCTCGTCCTCTGTCACGCCGCCGGACAGGCCGCCGATGAAGAGCGTGGTGTTGCTGGTGTCAAAGTCGGAGGGGTGGGGCGCCTGCAGCGAGCTCGCCGTCGTGGCGTTGGCGTTCTTCTTTGCCGTTGCCAAGTGCACGCGGATGGGACGGTTGGACAGGAAGTGACCGCCCATGCCCTCCAGCGCCGCGTCGCGCTGCTCCTCCGATAGGAAGCGCACGAAGCCGTAGCCCTTGGACCGTCCCGTGCCTGCGTCGGTGATAACCTGGCATGCAGGCAGTGTGTGGGAGTGGGGTGGGAGGGCAAGGGAGGGTGACGAAGCAGGAGGAGTGACACCCGCGACCTTCGCGGGGAGGGCAGAGCTTGCTTCCCCCGCTGGTGCGAGAAGGCGTGCGCCGGCCCTCAGTTCCCATCCACACAAGCCCCAATCTCCCCGGCCCTGCCCAAGGAGGGAGGCCATGCACGGGAAATCGCCTGGGCCAACGCCAGCACAGCCTCCCCATCGACACCCCTCCCCTGCCAGCCCAGCGAACCTTGGCGCTGCGCACGGACGAGTAAAATTGCCTAAAGTACTCTTGGAGGATGAGGTCGGTGACGTCCGGGGCCAGGTCCCCCACAAACAGGGAGTGGTCTGCGGGGGGGGTGGCGGGGGCAGGTGAAGGGGCTGGCGAAGGGTCTGGGCCCCCGATGAAGCGTGTCGGGGCCGGGGCCGGGCCCGGGGTGCATACCTTCGCCGGATGGCGTCGCTTTTCCGACGCCATATGCCGCCCAGTTGAGTCTGAAGACTTGGGTAGGGTCGTTGGGAAAGGGCTGTCCATTCCAGTGGGAGAGTATGTGGGCCGCACCTTCGTGCGTCCTGAACTCCAGGAACGCATAGCCCTCGGACTGCCCCGAGGACCGATTACGGATCAGCTTGACACTGACCAATTGTCCTGTGACCACGAAAATGTTGAACAAGTGGCTCTCGTCCACCCAGTGCGGCAGGTCGCCCAGCCACAGCGATCGCTGGGTCTGCTCGCTGCTGAGGGCCTCCGCCATCTCGACCAACAACTCAACCTTCCCAAAACATAGATCAACTGTCGTCGATAAATTTTAGAAGGCGCATGGATACTTGCAGTCTGGTTCTTTCCTGGTCCAATTCTTGAAAACGCGCTAAACCCTTGTGCGGAGGGGTGACGAGGGACGGAAACTCAGCCGAGGCATGGTGAGCGTTGGACATGGGAGCTGCATGCATCCGCCAATCTGGCAAAGACACCGTGAACATGGCTGCTCGAATCTTCTGGAGACGGGAGGGATCTACCTGCCACACAGACCTGGAACAGCCCGCACGCCCTTCCCCCAGCCATCGTTGTTTCTCCTCCGACATAATGACATGGACTGGAGGCGAGAATGAGGGTCTAGACGCATAGTCCACCAGTTTTGAAATTGTATCCAAGTATTTCATGGCTAGAAGCATTTTTTAATGATCAGCCTGGCGAAGTGCATGTGCCTTTGTCTTGGGCACTGGGTGGGACGACGTCGACCCCTTGGAGCACATCAGTAATAAGACACACTTGGGAATATACTCCATCCCCTCCCGGGCTTGCACCGGCTGCACAGCTTATTCCAGAGAGATATCGCTGGCGCAATCGGTTGCCTCAATGGCAAACCGTTGCAAAGGGAGGGGGGGAGAAGGAGGAATATGCAGGGGCAGGGGCTCACCAAAGGCTGTTGGACGAGGTGCAGTCTCAGAAAGTACCTAGCATCAAGATTTTCACAGGCCCATCCACGTCACGGTTCACGAAACTGACTTTGCAGCCTTTGTTCGTGCACCGCTTCGTGTCCCACAACTCTCTCCGCTCCTCCACGTCGTTGCAGACCTGCTTGTGCTGGTGGTCATGCAAGATAGTGTGACAGCCGCAGCACAGTTTGGAAGTCCAGTACTTTTCAACCACCACCACCCTGCACACCCGCCACAGGCGCCGCAAAAATCGTATCCAGGGCCCCGGCGGGCCCCCCGCATGATGCCCCCCGGTCCTAGGCCGACCAGCTGCCCCACCCCGACGACCGTCATCATGCGCGGGGGGGGGCGAAACTGCTCCGCCAGTCGGCCGATGGCCCGCTCCCTGCCGACGTAGGCTTGATGCCGCAGTTTTCTGAAGGTCTTTTACTACTCACCAGAAGACCATGAGTACCCACTTCCAGACAGTCTGAGTGGGCATAGAATTGGGATCGTCGTGGCCAGAAAACTCGGAAGTAGAGAAAGGTGTGACCACCACTTTATCGCACAGGACAGGACTCGATTGGACCACTGCGCTCGGGTCAGGCAGAGGCCCGTTTCATTTTAGTTTCTTGAGGGAAACGCTTATCTTGACTTCTAACGTCCATAAGTTGATGCTGTGTGCACACTCAGTCAGTTCATTGGCGGTGTTTCGGAATTTTCGCTCGTCCTTTCTACCGAGTGCACAGACACATGATCTCCCTCATACTCACTTGGTTTCTCTCATACAGCGGGCAGAACAAATTCGCTCTGAGGTCATCGCTGGGGCGGGAAGCGCAAAAATTGAGAATAATCATGTCCCAGTTTAGCTTGATGGACAATGCAATGTCGTCACAAGAGAGCTCCCCTGCCCGGGAGAGGCAGCGACCTCTGGCCTCCCCATCTAGGTCCAGCTATTTGGCCGCCCTCAGGCAAAAATCATGCTCAGAACGCATTATAATGCCTTCAATACTTGTGGTGTTGATATTTGGGGTCGTGGCGCTTATGTTCGGCCCCGTTGTGGGCACGCTGCGAACCGGGAGGTATCAGCCAGCAGCATCGGCACCCCTGACAGGTAAGGGCGACGGCGTCCAATCCAGCATGTAGCATGCAAGATCGGCCTCTCAGCAGACGATTCCAGAGCATTTATGCTGCCAGCAAGCCCGGTGTCAGGGAGGTGTCACCGCATGTATCTTCTGGACCCAGCGCAGGTACAGCGCTCGCCAGCGCAGAGCCTGCTGATGCCATCGAGACGCGGGAGTTTCATGCCCCATCGCACAGTGACAGAATTGAAGGAGCACCTGCTGTCGTTGACCGTTTGGTATCTAATTCACCTGAGGTACCATGGAATCCTGACGACTACATGTTGAAACGGTGGGTTCAGGCGGTCCTTGATGTCGTGCTCTTTGTCGTCCTGAGAGCAGTGCAGATGCCTTGGGCTGTCTCTCGCAAGCATCCTCTCAACCATCTCCTCCATTTGGCACAATAGGGATTTGGTGGAGCCGCTGGCGGACGACGGGCACATAGCAGTAACTTTTGCAAATCACAATCACCTTGATTTCGCCAAAAATTGGGCGTATCACATCAGGAAGACTGGGTGCACCTCGTACATTGTGGGGGCCATGGACGAGAAGATTCTGAAGGAGCTCGTCAAGCTGAACATCCCTACATTCTACATGGCTTCCAACCTCACCACCAATGATTTTGGTAGATTCACCAAGGAGTTTATAGAAATGGTGGGTAGTGAGGAGGGCCTCTGGCTTGGGCGTGCAGGGTTTATGCCGTGGCCTGTGGTAGCCATGGCTGTCCCAGCCTGTCTTACCCAAGCTTGGGCCTGCCGACAGCCCTGGCGGTCTTTCCCTGGTCAGGCATCTGCAATTTGTGTGAATAAACCGCCTGGTGAATTCTGCAGCAACTCACGCATGCTGCTCAGGTTGTACAAAGGCGGTTCTAGCGTGTCCTTCAGCCATCGACTCCATTACCCCATATCCCTCAGGGTCGCAAGAAAGCAGCCATGGTGCAGAGTTTTTTGGACCTCGGCTTCAGCACACTCGTATCTGACGTGGATGCGGTGTGGTTGCGCAACCCTTTCCCTTTCTTCAGAAAGGTGCGAGGTGACCAGCAGGGTAGGCTGTAAGATCATTTTGGGATCAAACCCTTGCTCCCGGAACTGTGTCACCTCAGCACTCAGTCTCATCCCTGTGCCATCTGCTCCAGTTCACGGATGCAGACATGCTTGTCTCCAGCGACCTCATCCAGACCACTAGCATCGCTGAGGGGCTAGAGGATCTCTCGGGAGCTCGTCATGGCCTCAACATTGGTGTGATGTTCCTCCGTCCCAGGGCACTCTCTTTGGTCCAGGTAAGGGAAGAGTGGGTGCTTGGAGAGCAAGCCGTCGCCTGGAGTAAACGCCTTGTGAATTCCTGGAACACTCCTCACAATGTGCCTCACCCATACCACCAGGAATGGATTGCAAACATGAGGAGCGATCCCAAGGGGTGGGATCAGGCGGAGCTCACTCACCTATTCCGCAGCAACCTCACCGTGGCGCCCAACCGCTCGGATGGTCTGCTGAGGTAAGCGAATCAGTAAAAGATCTACCGGTCTTCCGCCTGCATCGGTAATGATGTCGGCTGTGTTGTCGCGTAGATACCGTCACATGAGCAGATGCTGAAACCTATGCTCACTCGACCATCATGCAGTATCTACAATGGGAAGCTGCTGGGCGGTGCCCTGCCCACCTCCCTCTTCTGCTCTGGCCAGAGCTACAAGGAGGGAACGAGCTGGGAGGGGGGGCTGCGCCCATACTCCTTCCATGCATCTGGGATTGCCTCCGCGACCAGTGGAAAACGGTCCCGCCTGCGAGAGTGGGGATTCTGGCATGTGAGTGCTTGGTTGAAGGGTGAATATGCAGGGTGATTTGCCTGACGAGTTCATGAGGGTGACCCGTAGAAAGGTTAATGCGTCTACGCACATGGAGCAGATCTGCAAGAGCTCTTCTTGCCGACGCGACCTATTCTCCCTGCACAGGATGAGCCTGGGCGCTTCACGCATCCAGTCGGGTTCCTGAGCTACGACAACCATGTGCCTCTGGAGCTCATCAATGAAGTCAGAGATGTAAGTAGCCGAGGCACATGGTACGATATGGACCATTGTTAGCTTTAGTATCGTGTTCCTGCTGGCAGATGAGCTGTGCAGGACACCATGCCCTGTCAAGGCACCAGTCCACAACTCATGTGAGCCCTCCCTTTTCATTACGCATTCACAGTTCAAAAACCAGTCCAAGACCCTGCAAGGGGTGCTACCCCACTTCAAGCTCATGAACGAGCAGCTGTCCCAGCTGCGTGTGGCTCTCGTGGCCGCCAAGGAACTGGGAGGGGCAGCGGCTGTGCTGCCGCACCTGTGGCTCGGCAAACAGAACGACATCTGGCCTGGGGACGGATACTTTCGAGAGTCGCGCTTCCAAATGCCGTTCACTGCTCCTGCAGACTACACCATGGACCTGGAATGGTGCGTAGGAACCAGGGAAACGGGCATTTGAGCCTGGACATCAGTTCCCAGGGCCCCACTGTTCAACCATCACCGCCTCACCATTACATGGCAGGATGGACCACGAGATTCCAGACGAATACCGTGAGTTCTCCTTTCTTGAAAAACCTGAGGCTACACCCCTGCTGGCTTCCAGGGTCGTCATCGTGATCTGTCAGGTAGGCCACATGCGTGGCGGAGGACACTCTGATGTCAAGGAGACTGGGGTTCACGCCAAGCGATATCAGGTCACTCTGGTGTTGGGAGCACCCGTGAGCACCTGCCCTGCTTGCTTGATGGATCAGTGCCCACTGCTTTGTGCACCCTCAACCCACCGTCGGTGCAGGCCGAGGCTGATGCGGATTGTGAGGAGGGGGAGGCACCGGCCATCCCCAAGGAGGATGACACGGTGCGCCTCAAGCCAAACCGCAACCTCTACCAGCTGCGGACGGCGCTGAGTCACCTGTACAAGAGCTACAAGGTGCCACCTGAGGCTGGAGGTCCCTGGGGTGTCTCTCCCTGTCGCAACTCTTTGTGCAGCACGGCAAGGCTGCAGTCGCCAGCAGGAGATGAGGGGACTGCATCCCGGGCATACCATCCTGACGCCCCCCTCACTGTGTGTTTGCAGATTGTACACTTTCAGGGCAGGATGGAGAAAGCCATTCATCTCAACCCGGTTGAAACGGCCTTCTACAACGAGAGGATGCGAGGCTGGATGGGTGCCTTCTGCTGTGTGGAGGAGAAGCCAGGGCACATCTTGTGAGTCCCGTGGCAGCACTGGGGATGGCGACCGGGCGTCTGGCTGCCGACGGTGCTGCGCTTGTATAGTTGATGTCAACCTCGCCCACACCTTCAACGCTCTCAACTCCCCACGTGCTGCAGTTACGACCTCTTCTGGGACGTTCCAGGGCACATTAACCGCTTCAACGAGGTGCAAGAAGGGCCTTGGGAACCAAAGCCTGGACCGTAGAACCTGTGAGGTGGATAGTCTCTCTTGGTCTCTCGGCTAGCCTTCAGTGATTGATATGGCTGGACATCAAGGCCGCCTCACTCGTCAGTGCCAGTGAGGGTCGTCCCATGTACGCATCACATTCTTTCCCGCAGCTCCGTCCCTCACCAAACTCAAGCTGGACTGGCTGCTCTGACAAGGCACTCATTCGCAGGATGTCTGCCACCATAAGCTGACGACACTTAATTTGAATGTTACATGCCTTGAAAGATAACGAAACTGCCCCAGAGGCTGATTTGCCCCTTGGTAACTCCATGAAAGGTGATTTGAGCTTACTCTCAAAGAGCCTGAGCACAATGTGGGCATGGAGTCAGCGTCATCATGGCGAGACGAGCACCGAAGTGAGGAAGGTTATGGCAAACGCTACGGCACAGTACAATGACTTGAACCATGCACTCGGATCACGCTATTGGGATTATTGCTCTACCATCTTCTAGAACCGTTCATCTTGACTTTATTCGACCGTGCGGGTTGTTGCTGTGTGTCCTCGATTTGATCAAATCTGTGCCCTCGGTCAGATCGAATCTGCGGACCAAATGCTTCATTCGCCGTTTCTAAAATGTGTCCGGAGAGAATCGGGAATTCACATGGTTGCCCTGGACAGCAGCAAGCACTCGTTACTTGACAGAAACGCAGCTCTGAGGTCATCATTAGACCGGATGAGCATGTATTACTCATGAGTATGTCAAAATTTAGCTTGGTGGACAACGACATGTCCTCACGTGAGGACTCCCCTGCCCGGGAGAGGCAGCGACCTCTGCACTCCCCACCTCGGACCAATTACTTGACCGCCCTCAGGCAAGATACTTGCTCAGAGCGCGTTATAATGCCTTCAATCTTGGCGATGCTCATATTCGGGGTCGTTGCGCTCATGTTCGGCCCCATCGTGGGCACGCTGCGAGCCGAGAGCTATCAGCCAGCAGCAGCGGCAGCCGTGCAAGGTAAGGGCAGCGAGGCACACCTGAGACCTAATCATACATGATGGCTTAATCAGCGACATATTCTATCAGATTTGGTGTTGTGGGAAATTCCAGTGGCCGAGAAGTGACACCGCATGCATCTGCAGCACCCGTCGCAGGGACAGCGCCCGGCACCGCAGAGCCTGCGGTGGCCATCGAGACGCGTAAGTTTCCTGCCCCATCTCACACCTACGAGACCGATGGAGCAGCTGGTTTTCGTGACCGCTTAATCAGTGCAACACTCAAGAGACCATGGAATCCTGACGACTACATCTTGAAACGGTGAGTAGAGGTGGTGCATGAATTCATCAACATCCTCCCTCTGGCGAACAATACTGCTGCCCGGGAACTCTTTATGGTGAGGAACCCATCGTTCCTTCTTTCACCTGGCACGACAGGGAGATGGTGGAGCCGCTGGCGGACAGTGGCAACATTGCGGTGACATTCGTGAACTACAACCACCTGGATTTTGCTAAGAACTGGGCGTATCACATGGAGAAGACAGGTTGTACCGCTTACATCATGGGGGCCATGGATGAGGAAACACTCAAGGAGCTCGTCAAGCTGAACATTCCTACATTCTACATGGCTTCCAACCTCACCACGAATGACTTTGGCAGATTCACAAAGGACTTTCTGGATATGGTGAGGTGGAGGCAGGCCGGTTGTGCATGATGCCCCTTGGACAAGGTAGCCTGCGAGGTTGGATTTCTCCAGATTCTCTGTTCGTCCTGCTATTGTCAGAAATCCTGGATCTGCCATGACAGCTGCTTCTAGGGTATCGTGGCTGGTCAGAGTATTCAATATTTTCCACGGCATGCGTCAGCTGGGTCTAAGCTCAGGTAGTCAGTCTGTCAAGACGCACACCCAACACACCCGCACACTTTCCAGGGTCGCAAGAAAGCAGCAATGGTGGAGAGCTTCCTCGCCCTTGGCTTCGACACCCTGGTATCTGATGTCGATGCGGTGTGGTTGCGCAACCCTTTTCCATTTTTCAAAAAGGTGTGCCGAGGGTCCAGTAGGGCTTGCAAGGGTTAGAATGTTGGTGTTGCATGATGCCTCAGCCGTCATGCACCCTTCATCCTAACCCCATCCCTGTGAAATCCACCCTCCAGTTCAAGGACGCTGATATGCTTGTATCTAGTGAGATTTACCAGACCACTAGTGTTGCCGAGGGGCTGGAGGGTCTCTCGGGAGCTCGTCATGGTGTCAACATTGGTGTGATGTTCCTCCGTCCCAGGGCACTGTCTTTTGTTCAGGTGAGTTGAAGGAGGGTGCTTGGAAATCAAGCCGTTGCGTGAAGTTCAGGCCCCCCGATTCTCTAGGATGCTCCCACACAAAGCACCGCGACACACTGTCAGGAATGGATAGCCAACATGGAGAGCGATCCCAAGGTGTGGGATCAGGCGGAGCTCAATCATCTTTTCTACAGCAACATGACTTCAGCGCGCGATCGCTCCGATGGTTTGCTGAGGTGACCACACAGGGTCTGAGGCCATATGCATTCTCATGTGCATGCAGGGCCGCAGGGTCTTCCACTGCGCCCCTGTCATGTGTCGCCAACAGTGTCAGGAGCCCCTTCCTCCCCACGTGCCTTGCAGTATCTTCAATGGGAAACTCGTGGGCGGGGTCTTGCCCAACTCCCTCTTCTGCAACGGCAACAGCTACATGGAGGAGACGAGCTGGGATGGAGGCCTGCGCCCGTACTCCATTCATGCCAGTGGGATTCACTCTGCAACCAGCGGAAAGCGCTCCCGCCTGCGAGAGTGGGGATTCTGGCACGTGAGCGGTGTGTGTGCGCTTGAGGTGCTCTGGTAGACAGGAGAGCGCAGCGTCTACCCTGACATGGCTTTGAAGGTAGATGACTGCGCATGTGCGCATGTTCTTCTGCAATAGCTTTGCCCACAAACCCGGTATGATATCCCTGCACAGGACGAGCCTGAGCGCTTTACGCATCCAGTCGGGTTCCTGAGCTACGACAATCATGTGCCCCTGGAGCTGCTCAAGGAAGTTCGAGACGTAAGTTGGCAGGGATGAGGATGTTGGTGTGGACCGACACTGCATGTGATCACGCACGCTTGCAGACGGGTGAGCGTTGTATGACATTCAGCCATATCGAGGCGTGGGGCTGTCGCCCATGAACGCCCTTCGTCTCCACACGCCTCCACAGTTCAATAACCGCTCCTGGACCGTGCCGGGGGTGCTCCCCCACTTCAAGCTCGTCAACGCGCAGCTGTCTCAGCTCCGTGTGGCCCTCGTGGCCGCCAAGGAACTGGGAGGGGCGGCGGCTGTGCTGCCGCACCTGTGGTTTGGCAAAGAGTTCAATGCCTGGCCAGGTTTTGGGTACTTGCACGAGCCAAGACTCAAGAAGCCTTTTGCCGCCCCTGCAGACTATACCATGGACCTCGTAAGGTTTGCTATGGTTTGTGCGGGTCCATGGCGGTGTATCGCAGGCTGCCGTATTAAGGCCTGCCCCACCACTAACTATTCTCGGCTTTGTCACTGCAGGATGGACCATGAGATCCCCAACGAGTATCGGGAGTTCTCATTCCTGGGTAAGCCTGAGGCGACATCCCTGCTGGCTGCGAGGGTTGTCGTCACGATCTGCCAGGTGGGGTACATGTGGGGACAGGACAGATGGCCGATGCGGGCATAGGAGAGAGCCTTGTGCTGTCGCGTCGCCTCTCTTCCTAGAGGAGCTCGAATCGCTCCCTGTTCTCCAAATGGCTCAGCGCCCACTAGTCTGTGTTCTGTCACCCCACGTCCCTCACAGCCAGAGGCAGATGAGGACTGCGAGGAGGGAGAGGCACCGGCCCTTCCCAAGGACGACGCAGTTCGTCTCAAGCCAAACCGCAGCCTCTACCAGCTGCGCACAGCACTGAGCCATCTGTACAAGAGCTACAAGGTGCCACCTGAGGCTGGGTGGCCCCATGTCTCCTCACCCCGGGAACCCCATGCGTGCAGCTCCATGAGAGTGCGAGCGCCACCAGGGAAAGAGGCGGGTCCATCATGTGCACACCCACAAGAACCCCTGCTCCACCGGTGCCTGCAGGTGGTACACTTTCTGGGCAGGATGGACAGGGCTGTCCTCCTGAGCGCGTCCGAGGTGACCTCCTACAACGAGAGGATGCGAAGCTGGGCCGGGGCCTTCTGCTGTGTGGAGGGCAAACCAGGGCACATCTTGTGAGTCCTGTGGCAGTGCTGGGGGATGGCGACCGGAGGTCTGGCTGCCAATGGTGCTTCACCTGCACGTGTGTCAATATCAGTGCGTTCCCAGCCCATCATCCCCCTCGCCCACCAAAGGTACGACCTCTTCTGGGATGTGCCAGGGCACATCAATCGCTTCAACAAGGTCCAAGAGGGACCTTGGGAACCCATGCCTGGACCCTAGACAGGTTTGGAGGCCTTGTCTGACCTCCTCACCACAACATCTTGTTCCTGTGTAAAAATCCTCTGTGCGCGATTTGGCCTGCACGAGATATCCTTTCCATGCCAGGTTCCATCACACAACGTTCTTCAGCAGTACCCTCAATTCTTTCATAGCGCCCTTTCACCCTTCCCGATCTCTGTGTGGGTCCAGGTGGTAAATCTGGTTCTGCAGCCACTGCTCACTCACCACAGGAGGGCCTCTTCCTGATCACCCTACTCTTGCTGTAGCTGTACAAGTTTCTCTAGTGCAGGGGGCGCAAGAGCAAGTCCCCAACTGAAATCACAGTCAGGCCACTGCGAGTAGGGTTCCACCTATGGCCTCAGGACCCGATGGGGAAGTGGTCGAGGGCTGTCGTGTTGCCATTCACATATCGTTGGATGGATGCCAGCATCCTCTCCATTTTATCTGGGGGTGGAGGGCATGCTAGAGGTCAAGCATAGCAAAATGATTCAACAGCAAGATACGGGACCCCTGCCACTCCCAACCACTGATGTGACAGTGCAGAGCAAGGGTCCTCCTCCTCAACTTGCAGGCTGAAGGAACATGCACCTGCACAGTGGGGCGGGCATGCAAATCCTCCATGCCTGGCGGCCCACCCAGTGGCACCTGTGTGTGAGTTGATGTGCACGACATACGGCCTGTGTTCCAGATATTTTTGCCCCTCATATCTGAGGTGCTTGAAGAGGGTCTTGGAGTTGAGGAAGTTCTCGTAGTCCATGACTCGTCGAGTCACCGACGGGTCCTGCAGGTGGGGTACCATGAACAGGTGAGGGCCAGCATTGCCAGGGTTGTCATGGGATCGTGCCGGTCTCTGTTGGGGGTTTGCCCCATCACCAACCGAGGCCTGGATCAGGGGACAGGGCCTGTGCGGCGACCTTTGCATCCCCTCCCTCTGCCATCCCACCTTGTGCCCCGGGCGCGAGGGGGAGAAGACACACTCGCTGAAGATGGCCTGGTCCCAGCCGTCCTCGGTGTTCAAGCGATGGATCACCATGTCCAGGAGGTCCATAGAGGCTTGCGTGGGCCTGGATTGCAGGAGGAGGATGGAAATCTTCCGCAAGGTTTGATGAGTGCAAGGAGCACAGGAGGATACATGGTGATCAAACTCAACCCTGATGCAACGCCAGCTTTCCCCACCCCCCTCGCAAAACCGGCGCTGACAAATGTCAGCCCCGGGGGACTTGGCGGCCGCCCCTTTCCCAGGCCCACCTGATGTAGATGAAGCCGACGTTGAGCACAAAGACCCTGATGGAGTGGGCATAGCGACCCCACCCCATGACGTTGTCCTCTGCACGGTCAACAGGGCGGTGGGTTGTCAAGGGCCGTTTGTAGTGGTGAAGGCACAGGCATGCCCTAAGATTCCCTCGCGGACTCGCTGGGGATGCTCAATGCCCTGGTCAACTCCACGTGGGGCAGCTCTGGATCGGCGCTTTCCCAATCGCACCAACCCCCTTCTTTACCCACCCAGGACGTCATTCCAGCCGTAGGCTGTGTTCGGGGTCCACCCATCGGTCATGGACTCGACGTCAGAGTCGCGGGTCAGGTTCCTGAAGGGGTCCTGGAGTACTAGCACGTCCACATCTGGGTGGGGGGGGACCTCTTGTTCAGATCAGACAGGGAGCTGGCCCCCTCGACAGGAAGCCCAGCCAGTGGCTTTCCCGATGCATGGAGGCATGCCGACTGGATGCCGCTGAGGGCCAGGGTGTTCTTCGCAGAGACCCGGCCCTGCGCACGTGCAGCCGATCCGCACCCGATAGGAGGACGGAGTAGCCCAGGCGCAGGCACCTCCGGAGCAGCTCGAACTTGGTGGAGCCCACCTCCCCACGGCCGCCGCCGCCCAGCTGCGTCTCAGGCACCTGAATGGTGATTTTGGAGGTGAGCCATCCTCAGAGCCGAGGCCCGGGCAGTGGCGCCTCGTGGCCCTTGCCAAGCAACGATCCCGAGTGAGAGGGCGCGCACAATTGCAGGCTGCCGCCTCAGACGTCAGGAGCCGGCGTGCAGCACAGCCGACACGCAGCACCTTCGACCACCCCCCTCCCTCCCTCCATGCCTTGAGGTTCATCCTCAGGGCATTCATGCCCAGGCCTTCCGCAAAGGCATGGGTCTCATTGTCCAGCGCAACCACCACGGCATTCTTGACCCCGGCTCTCAGCACCTGCATGGTGAGGGTGCGTGGATTGGGTTGCCAGGACTCGGTACCCTGGTTCATCCAGAGTATTGTGACCGGCGGCCCAGCTCCAGATCCCCTCCACTCACATTCTCTATCCAGAACCGAAGCATTCCCTCCTCATGCGCCAGGTTCTTATTGCTCACGGCAACGAGAACCTCATTGTTGATGGACACCTGCATGACGAGAGCATGGAGGGGGCCTGGAATGCGGAGAGCGCTCAATGTGCACTGGATTTGTGGGTTTCCGTGAACAGTCCCTGGCCCGCCAGTGACGCCGCACTACTCCAAGCACCGAGCATTCTGCCACACCCACCTTGCGGAGCATGGCCGCCAGCTCAGGATCAAGCTGATCCTTTACTCTAGAAGGGTGTTCCAGCGCATGCCGATCCTGTGGAATCCGGAGATGGGTGCCGTGAAGGCGGGTTCACCTCGGTATGAGGGGACAACCTGATCCGGACGCCAGGCTCTTACATTGCAGACACAGGTGGAGGCTACCAGACCACGACTAGGCGGCGCAGAATGGGAGTCTTCTGTGTGCGTGCGCACGAGTTGAAAGCCCAGGAGTACGCCGACCGCGACGCAGAGGCTCAACGCAACCCTGCCAGTGACCGGTCGACCGCCCCTGGGGCTCAGTCTCGGCGTATGCAACTGCAGCTGGTCTCTGTGCTCTAGCATGCCGTTGGAAATTGTCTCAAACCCGTCTGAGATGCTCCGACGTCATGAGCTTGGTTGCACTGAAAGTGCATCTGGAGGCGCGAGCACGCACCCGGCTGCGGAGCAGGGTCCCGGATTGACCCATCCAAGACTTCCCACGAGGCCATCGAGTCATAGCCAATACAACGTTCGTTCCCATCAATTCATCATAAGCTCACGCTCCAGTGCTCGCCTTTATCGAGGGTCCCAACGAGCATGCAATCGGGGTACGCAGAGCGTGAACACCCTCACGCGAGGGAGCCCATGGCCTCCTCCAGAGCGGCGCGAGTGACGCCCTATTTCAATGGTATGGAAGCTTCACCCATCACATGCAGAGAATTGGATCCGTAAGAAGCCAGTGGTCGGAAGGAATCGCCATCGTCGTAATCTCAATTTGTGATCACGTCGCTTTAACCATCCTTGCTCTTGATCGTCCGCCTTGCTGCTGAG